TCGATCAAATGGGTCATTTTACTAGTTATGATATTCAGCGTAGTGTCTGCGTTCTTGTACCTTAATAAGTCAGGCCAGTTGATACCCCTCATCTCTTCCCTCATTGTAATTTCCCTTGTAATATTTGCACCTTGGCCTGGCCTTATCTTGAACTAGGTAACAGTTAAATCTGAATGACAACACTGTATGGTGACTGGTGCCAACTGGGGCAAGGTGTTCCAGTTTGGCCACCATACCCTCCTCGTTTGTTATGATGAGGTCAAGTGGCTTGGGTGTTTGTTCCCCTCTGTAATGTGTCGGGTCTCTCACATGTTGGAACAGAAAATTATCTCTCAGAGTTTCTACAAAAAGAGTAGCAGGATTATTCAAGTCATTCGGGGTGGACTCGTTTCTCCAGTCGATGTCGCCATAGTTAAAGTCCCCATGATAAGGAGGTGGCTGGGGTTGAGCATCGCCGCATTGTTTATTAAGGTTCTTAAGTTCCTTTGATTTAGTGGGCCACAGTTTGGGGATCTGTAGATACACCCGACGATAAGTAAGTCCCCTCCCTTTAATTTAATTTTACACCACTTGGACTCTTCAAAAACATCCTCTCCCTGTACCCTCGCCTGGCTGGCTCTAAGGTCTTGCCTAGCGTAGATAACCACACCCCTCCTGCAGGATTCTTGAGTTAGGTTCGTAAATGAGTCATATCCAGCAATACTGAACTCACATTCCTCTGGGTTGATTCTCCTGTTCTTGTACAACAGTTCTACAACTCCTACAATATCTGGTTGGTGTACTCTTAGTAGTGTTTCAAACTCCTCTCTCTTATCAAGGAACGTGTCAGTATTAGTGTACATGACATTCAAGCCAGAATTTGTTCTCGGTAACGTCTCTGCTCTTAGTAATAAACCCGCTCCACCCACATTCTCAGAAGCTGCAGCATTTGCTAAGTACACTGTATTTTGCAGGGTGTGGTTAAAAATGTCATTGTTTACACGGCGCTCGTTCCCTCCTGTCCGGTAGGCTGAGCTGGTGCCGCCTCCCGGGTGGGGGGTTGAGTGGGTGGAGGGTGCACTGCTGCCCCCTGGCCCTGTGTCGGCACACTTGTTTCCACTACCCTCCCCCTGAGTATAACCCATGTACACCTGTCCCCGTTCCTCCTCGACTCCTCCCTCTTCTGCTTCAAGTCCTGCAGGAGCTTCTTGTGCTGTTCCCTCTGCATTACCGTGCGGTCTGGGTGAATAAATACATCCCGAAATGCCTCGCTCCTTGCTAAGTTTTTTGCCTGCCGAATAACTTGCCATTTCTCCTCCTCACTCCCTAGTGTGATCCTGAGGGGGCGAGGCTTAGCCCCCTGCTTTTGTCCCAGTCTCCTCACATCCTGAGGGGTTGCTGGAATCTTCAGAACCTCTGTGCAAATATTTTGAAACAGCACCTTGTCGTGTGTTTCCTTACTCACAGTTCCCTCTGCCTGGCTCTCTGGGACTCCAAAAACTATTACATTGTTCCTGCGCTGGAGCCGTTCCTGGTGTTCCTCCTCTCCCCTAACAGTAGGTGCGTTAATTTTCATTTCTTCGACACACTTTTTCAGAGTCCCAATCTGCTGTAGAACCTGTACTGATTCTGCATTACTCTCCGCCCCCCCCCGTGGCCCTCCTAATACGTCAGCATAACTCCTCTTAGCAACCACCTCCATTCTATTAGCTACTTCCTCAGTCTTAGCAAGGATCTCTTTCCCAACTTGCTCCAGTTTGTCAACCAGCAGGGCTCCTGCTTCATCTATTTTCGTCCCTAGAGAACTCGTTCCCTTATGGATTGCAATCGCTTCATTCACCTTGACTATGCAGCCAGAGCAATACCAGCAACAGCCATCATGCTTTACGGCAGTTAGTAACTTCCTAAACGTTGCATTAGTTAGGCCTGTATCCTCCATATCCGACGTCTCCCTGCAGTAATCACATATCAAACTCATGGTTGTTGTTGTTGTGGGGGGGGGGGGCAGACTGTGTATAAATCTACACCTATGTCAAAAAAATAAAGAAAGAAAAAGTACTTAGCTACTCTCTGTTGCCTATAGAGTTGTCGTCTGCGACTGCGTACACTGTATCTCCCTGTGAATGGTGTATTGTAGGCACAGTTTCAGTCCTTGAGAAAGCACACAATCAACATAAAATTTAAAGTCTCTGTGGCACCTATGACACGACTTGGTTTCAGCTGGCACGGTGCCTTTCCAGCTTGCTTGCTAGTGAGCGCTCACTTTAAGTTATTTACAACTTCAGCGGTCACTGATGACACTATGAACTATCACTGTGTACACTGTATCTCCCTGTGAGTGGTGTATTATAAACACAGATTCAGTCCTTGAGAAAGCACACAAACAAAATAAAATTTAAAGTCTCTGTGGCACCTATGACACGAATAGGCTGGCAGTTGTCCTTACCAGCTCGATTGCCAATATGTATTCACTTTAAGTTATTTATAGTCTCTTCTGCATTCACTGATGACAACTATGAACTGATTCAACTGAAGGCACAGTACTACACTCCCTGGTTGGCCTTTATCACAGCCGTGACCACAACACCCTAGAAAAATAAAATAAAATAAAAGCTTTGTCATGTGGCAGTGATTGTGTGGTTATAGGCCTGTGACCCTGGCTGTACCTCCAACTCGGTGGAAATTTAGTTTTCAAAAATACAATCGTGTCTAGCATTAAAAGTCCTACATCGATTTACACTTTCACATCACTGAGACGATCTTGACGAATTTATGTAATCACTGTCCAATTTCTGCCGCTCTACATCGAAGGCCCGAATGCCGAACACGCTTTGTTACAGAGACGCAACACGACCCGCCCGCCCAGGAAAGAAGTAATACGTGTAATACGTGTGTAAACATTAATCTGTATGTTCACTGTATGTTCCTTCACCTTTCTCTAATAAAGGCTTTTGTTAAACCACCAATATATGTAGTAAGTCATTTGTGTCCAACTTTTTCAATAAACCGTTTATTATTATTATTATTATTATTATTATTATTATTATTATTATTATTATTATTGTAATGCTGCCACACTAGACGCATTACACCACCCTGTATGCGAACACGCACACGTAAACACACACACACACACACACACACATATATATATATATATATATATATATATATATATATATATATATATATATATATATATATATATATATATATATATATATATATATATATATATATATACAGGTTGACAACCCTTTATCCGAAATTCCAAAAACCGAAAAGCTCTGAAAACAGAATGTTTTTTTGTGGAGCAATTTTATTTTTTGTTTTTGTTTTTGTTTTGGTTTTGGGTAACAGCCCACCCGGGCACAGGTCACTGACCCACATCGGGGCCTAGGGGGTGAAAATGTAATAGTACAGGTTGTACCTCTCTAGTCCGGCATTCTGTGGTCCGGAAACTCCCGTGGTCCGGAACGATTTTAGTTTGTCCAATAGGTAGATAGGCAGCTTCTTTTTTTTTCTTTTTTTTTTACTTATCTGAATTATTATTATTACAGGAGTATTAAATTTTTGCCCCTCAGGCCCTAATGTGGGTCAGTGACCTATTCCCGGGTGGGCTAATCCCCTTAAAAAAAAAAGCCGCGGGAAATTAAGGTTTGTTTACATCCGGCAGTTCGGTTGCTCTCTCTCTCTCTCTCTGCTTGTCTATACAGAGTACAACATTTAACCCTTCAATATATATGAGCAGTAAATAAGTGTTGCTTTCATATTCTTATGTAGAGTAATGACGATATATTTTCACATGTGCGCACTTACATACGAGCAGTCTCACTTTTTTTTTACCATTAATGGTTAGCTACTTATATTGTTCCATTTATTAACATTAAATAACATTACAGGTACTTCAAGCAACCATATTCATTTTTTACATTAATTTTACTGCAGCTACAATCAGGGTCTTATTTTCTTCAGTTTTATATGTAGAACCAATCAGTCACTGGTTTCGTAAGCTTTAACATAAACAATGCCGGCAGCCGTCTCGTCTCCTCTAATATCCCACGTATTATTAATAAATTGTATTGTTAATTTTGCACACACGTACATTAATTCAATAAAAACAAATTCAGAAACATTAATTAAAATATATATGAACAGTAAATAAGTGTTGCTTTCATGTTCTTATGTAAAGTAATGACGATATGTTTTCACGTGTGCGCATGCACACTTACATATGCGATCTCTCTTTTTTCTTTACCATTATCGTTAGCTACTTCTATTGTTCCATTTGTTAACATTAAATAACATTACTTAAAACAACCATATTAATTTTACTACAGCTACAACCAAGGTCTTATATTCTTCAGTTTTATATGTAGAACCAGTCAGTCACTGGTTTTGTAATCAACGAAAACAATGCTGTGTCATTTCCTCGTGTGTTTTAATATTCTACGTATTGTTAATGAATTTTATTGCTCATTTTGCACACACAAACATTAATTCAATAAAAAAGACATTCAGTCATAAACAATAATGAATCTTTTGTACATAAGAGAAATGTCGCTGTTTACACGATTATGCACGTCGTCTGCACGTTGGCGGGCCATTCAAACCCGTCGAAATTCAAGTTTCCGCCGTCAAAATTTTTATTTATTTATTTTTTTGTGTGTTCCAATAAAATACGTTAAGAATTAAAAACTCGCGAAATTTGAGAAGCTACTATACGACATTTAACCCTTCAATATGTCTTCAAAGAGACCATGACGCAGAGAAAGTGGTGCTAGTGCTTCCAGGCATAAGCACAAGTCACTATCTATCCAAGAAAAGGGTGAATTTCCATGGTCCGGCACCGGTCAGGTCCCGAGGTTGCCGGACTAGAGAGGTACAACCTGTATAAAGAATAAATCTCTCATTGTAAATCCTTTCCTTCTACATTGCAGGCTGGTAATAGGGAAATGTGTTAAAAAAATAATACTGTACTGTACACAAGTTAGATCATCATTATAAAAAGTAATACTTTGATGATGCTTTCAATAAAAAAAATTACAAACTGCACAGACAACAAGTTTGGTGACAAAGTAGTCTAGCTTTATCAAATGGCTTTCTTCTGACCATATCATGAAGTTTTCAGATACAGTAGTTTAGTTTCCTCTAACTTATGTAACTTATGAGGCCACAGAGTTTCTTCAACCAAAACTCACATTATAAACTTCAGATCATGTCTTAGATAACAAGGGGCTCAACATATTAGAAACATTATTCTTGAGTAATAAACATGGCTATTTCAGTGTTTGTAATATTAGCACTGGAGAACTATGATAATAGTGGATGTTCTTTAAAGTTCACTCAGGTAGTATAAAATCTCTCTCTTGGCATAGCCAATATAAAGTGATAGGCATTACTGTGTGGAGTTCACCATGTTGTACCGATTTCGGTTTCGCCAGTAGTGGACAACTAACACCAGTACCAGTGTCAGTAGTGCAAGAGAGAGCAGAACACACCAGATGATTGTGTTGAGGATGGGTGACTGAAGGATATAAACAAGGGTGTTCAGCTGACCTGCTTGATCTTGTGTGATATCTGCCAGAATTTCAAACCACAACATTGGTAGGTACACATCAGGAACCGATTTCAGTATGCTACAAAAGAAAAATAATTAGAAAATATTTAAAAATAATAAGTCTGCAATATAATAATAAGTCTGCAATATTTTCATTACATGTATATTGCTTGCTTGTGTTAGCTATGATTACATGATTGCAGCTCTCCAAGCTACATGGTCTTGTGCAACTTCTCTTATTAGGTTCTCATCTCTGAGGTAATTACTCATAACCTCTCCCGATGTCATTCTAGGCCTACTCCTAGCTCTCCTCCCCTCCACATTTAAACTCTTGCATCTATTGACCCAACAAGTCTCCTCCACTCTCTCCACATGCCCAAACAACCTGTACAGTATTGATTATCTTCAGTACGTACACAACTGCACAATGCCCCCAGCATTATAAGTGCATGCTAGTAATTTCCTTGGTTGCTGATCGCACCCAGAATCATGCCACATTTATAACCTTAACTGGATCTTCAAATGTATTCTATGTGTATTTCACTTATGAGATTTGTGATATGGATGACTGTTTTAGAGGACACTAGTGACATGGTACAGTAAGGGGTGTTGGTGCCAGCTTCAGATCTAAGTGCATTGTAGTGTTTCCCAAGTTGAGAATCTTTTTCCCACTGGGATTACCTTGCTATTAATTACAACACAGTAACCTATGATTCTGCACACAAGTCAAATAATTTCTTAAAATCCATACTCAAATGTACTCTGGCATCAAGGGTCTCAGTGCCCCTACCTCGTACCTTACTGATCAGAATGTAATTAATGCATTTTTTCTTTATTTCAGGTAAATAAAATGAAGCTACTGTATGGTTGTAGAATTGTAAAATTAAGTGATTAATCAAAATTTCCAAGATACTATTCCTTTTCCAATGCTTTGTTCTAAAAAAGAAAAGATAAAAGGTCAGGAACCTCCACATATTACATGAATGACACAGGCAACCATTTATATATAAAGTTTACATTTCTTCTAGTAACTGGAAAGTCACTGGTGCTATTAAACAAACATATACATATCATTAATGTATATATTCTATAAAAAGGGTTTTGTTTCTCCTATCATTTAACATTCTATGGTCAGTAAAGTACAGTGTACATCACAAAAAACTGATAGATTGAATGAGCGCATTTATCCAACAGATGTAAACTTCCACAAATATTGAAAATTTTCAAGAAAACTTAATTTTCAGGTTCTTCAGATTTATAGATAGCCAGAGTACTACACAAAAAACAAAATTCCTGACACTGCACTACTGTATTTCAGAGTACTGTACTGTTTAACAACTTTCGGTGGACCAGCACTAATGCTTTTCTCAAAATAATGATTATCATCAGAATATGAAGTTATGAATTTTTGCATAATTAAATTTGTGAAAAAATTGCAAATTTTGTTCATATTAACAAGTACAAGATGATATAGTTTGATTAATAATACTGTACTGCACACATCATTGTCATTCCTAAAAACCCCCTTTAATTCATATTACGCTACATAACATTCAAATCCACTGCGCTTGTAGAATCTCAGAAAAGGGGAAACATTGATAAGGAATAACTCAACTAATGAATATTAAGGAATTATTTGATGAATTGCACCCAACTACGGGTATATAATATTAATTGTATGTACTCGTAGCATTAAGGATAACTCAAGGTACAGTGGGGTATGCTATAACGAATCTAACTGGTTCTAGAACATTGTTCGTTATAGCATTCGTTCGTTATAGGATTAATCCGTTCCAGGCCCCCAAATACAACCACTTAACACTGAAAAATATAATATAAAATTGTAAAAATTGTAAAAAAGTGCATAAATATGCATCTAAACCCCTGAAATAAAGAATATCATTAATATTTGTAATAAAAAAACAATTAGAAATTTTTTTTTTTAATAATGTTCGTTGTAGGAGTTTCGTTCGTTATAGCATTCTCAATTTTATAGGTAAAACCGTTCGTTATAGGAATATTCGTAGTAGGATCCGTTCGTTATAGCATACCCCACTGTATCTATAGGATGGTTGTGAGAGTCCAATTGATCCGAGCTAGTGTACTATCCGGGCTAAGTGTAGATCGTGGTTTGAAGGTCATACTATTTACGTCTGTGAATGTTTAGTGAACATAACTTCTGCAGATATCAGATGAAAATACATGAGAACAATGATCTGGAAAAAGGATAAATGTACCAGAACTATGTGAGGTGTTGGAAGTGACCAAGAACCTATACTTGAAAGGAAATATCTTGTATGCATCGGTGTGAACTTAATACACCTTGTTATCTCGTGTGATGTATACCCACGACAAGTACAGTGAAAATAGAATCTTATGTCTGTGTGCAATGTGTGAGAGGAGGATCCCTAATTACAGTTTTATGTGAAGTGGATATACCCACTCTATGAACATTCGGCTTTTGTTTCAGGGTAGCATCCTTTGTACCCGGACTGCAGGTTTGAGTTAATGATATAGCCCAATTAATTTCCCCAGGAACTGTCAAACCTGTGCTGTACTAGTATGTAATGTAGGATTAAGATATGTATTTATAAGGCATAAGGTCACAATAAACAGGAAAGTGTTCATGTGAGAACCATGGGAAATCAAAGTGAAAATTAAAAATTGGAAACTGTAGGCCTACACGATGAGAGGCGGCAGGACACTGCCCTCAGTATCCTCCGTCTTCTCACCGAAACAGGTCAGTGTCTTCCATCGGGCTACATCCAACCCTAAAAAGGCTTATATAGCAGTTATTACAGCTTAAAACTTTGCCTGATGTATAAAGTGAAGTAGTAATGTGTTAGAGTGGGTGATAACGGCCCACCAGGCATTATTTCTCAGTATCCTCCGTCTTCTCACCGAAACAGGTCCCATGCGGTCTGAGCGCCTTTCTGTACGTCGGCCATTACTCCCATGTGAAGAGCGGGGACGCCATTATGCCCATCCACTGTGAACCTGTGGGTTCCCTGCCTATCACCCCCCTACTAATATGTCGAGAAGATTCGCGGTCGTCATTTGGAGCAACCGATACTACCAGGAGTAGAAACAGTACTGGTATGACTACTGGTGGAGCACTCGTTATACTCACCGAGGGCGGTGTGCGAACGAGGTGCCTGATATGTGTACCTAGAAATCACAAGGAGTCCCATACTTGCAGGTGTGGAGTGTAACCAGGGTGTGGTGAGATGGTATTACAAGGAGGTGAGATGGTGCTATAATGTATAATAATCTAAGGCGCTATATTCCAAACAGGTGGAGCAGTCTGATGTGTTGAGTGTTATTGTAAGAAGGGATGACCGAGGTAAGGAGATCACTGATTGTTATGAGCAATAAGTATGTGGATGACACGCAATTAATGTAAGACGTCTGTTGTTGAGCAGTGTAACTAAAATCATAGTTGTTCTTCGGAGGAAGGCCAACTCTTCTGGTATTTGGACGGAATGCAATATGTTTTAGAAGGAATAAATTAGTTAAGACATGTTATTGTTTCGCCTTTCTTTCCCTTATCGATTTGATCAATGAAAAACCCAACCCAATGCCTAGTTCACTCTGCCCGCTACCTAACGAGCTACATACTGTCTAGAGGGGGTCTGGTGGCAGCGACCTTAAAATTAAGAATACCCCTGTAAAAGTAAGTTATCCCCTTAGAATTAGTGACCCCAGAATCTGGCAGTATAATACTATACAACTAATTTATGCCTAGTTCACTTATTAGCTACAACAAATTTAAAGTGCTATAGGATGTTAAATAATAAAATATTGAACAAAAGAGGACTTACTCAATCTCATCTATATGAAATTTACCATGCTGTGGGTAAGGTAGTACACGTAAGTTGATCTGTAGCCTGGCTGCCACCTTCATGGGCACCCCGAGTTCCTGTCACACACACAGACACATCCATTACTTACTTAGGTTTTTGCTTGTAATATGGGCAAATGATTGGAAATAGACAATAAGGTTAGGGTTCAGTAAAAAAAAAAAAAAAAAAAAAAAGGGAGCCTTGATATTTACAATTACCGTACTGTTTTCTCTTAGATTCATGATCCTGATATGTTATGGTCCACTTAGAGCATACTCTGTATATATGAAATACTTATCAAGGACAATTTAAAACAACATTTATAATTCATCTGTAGGTAAAACTTCCCTTCATTTTTTTTAAAGCATCAATAACAAAGGTTCTCTGATTTCATTAAAAATCAAAGTTGTGTCAGACTAACCTCTTGTTATCCTATGGTTATTCAAGACATTCTGTAGTAACAGTATCTTTATTGCACCATAAGACTTTATTTTTCTAAGTACAGTACAGGCAATTATGAAGATCCAGTTTACATATGGAGCTATATATTTTTTGCCCTATGTGTTGATTTATGTACTGTACAGTAAATCCAATGTTACGAGTTTTGGTTTTCACAGCATTGGAGGATACCAAGGTATTGAGACAGACATCTCAGGGATTACTGTACTGGGCTTGGTCTGTTTGTAAAAACAAACTAAAAAAATATACAATTTTGCATTATGTATATTTAGAGTTGTTAACTAAGCTAGACATAAAAGACAGTGGCAAGATGCTGTCAGAATATTTCAACTATGGGAACGATAATGTGTCTATTATCCCAAAGTCTGATGTGATGTCTATGGAAAGAATAAAATGTTTAATGAATAAGTTTAGCATTTCTTATTCAGATAAAACCAAATAAAAAATTAAATCCAGTGAAAACAAAACATCTTAAAATGCATTTGCTGTACGGAAATTGTGGTAGACTTACTGTTGGTGCATCATTATGAAATTAAAAGCCTTTGTCAAGCCTGGGCCTCACAGTCTCACACTGCATCATTTCCGAGTCCTCCAGTACATGAAATTCACTCTTTGATGTTTATTATTGGTTAGTATATAATAATTTTAAATAATTTGTCATTTAAATATGTACTTTAGCATTTTAAGATGTTTTCTCGTTGTAAGACTGTATCCGAGATCTAATAATGGGAGTCTATGGGAAAAATGTGATCCAATTTACAAGAAACCAATAAATTGAAAAATTCTGCACTTTGACAACAAAGAATTAAACTGTGTCACTGCTGGAGTTGGTGTTAACCAGCTGAACTAACAATTGAAGTGTACAATATACAAAATCTATATTTTCTGAAGTGGACGAGGGGATAGCAGACTCTGGCATTACACAGATAATGAATGCATACTGTCACATGTAACCAAAAGTGTTGGTGTTAGATGCACGTTTAATTTGTTTTACATAATGTTTCAGTAAATTTTTATGTAAAAGCTGTAAAGTTCCCCTAAAATTTGTTGATAAGCAACCTGGCTTGCCAGGTAATACTTTTACTTTTACTTTTATCCTCTTCGCCACTGATCGGCTTGTTAGCCGCTTGGGCGATCGGTCACGTCTCTGATTACTTTTCCTTTTCATTTATCTTCTTCACCAAAAGATCGGCTCACTAGCCGCCCGGGCGATCGGTCACGTCTCTGTCACGCACTGTTGGCAAATACTGGGCATGCACCGGCTCCTGAATGTACCTGAACCCGCTCCAGTGTTGGTCAAGTCTTGTCTTGAAAGAGCTCACACTCAGTGCCATCACAACACTCTCTGGTAGATTGTTCCAAGAGTTTACAATCCTCACTCCAAAAAAATTTGCCCTCACGGTTTTCTGTCTTGCGGCTTCTTCAATCTTGAGCTGTGACCCCTTGTGGGGTGAGCGTCCGCCAGCTTCAAGTAAGGACACTCAACTGAGTAGTGCCCCCTGAGATGCTTATACACCTCAACTAGGTCCCCCCTTGCCCGTCTGTAGTATAAGCTAGGCAAGTTCAGGCACTCCAATCTCTCAGGGTAGCTGAGGTGCTGAAGTGCAGGCACCAGTCTGGTGGCCCTCCTTTGAACATTTTCAACCAACTGACAGTCCCTAGCATATCTCGGGGACTAGATGGGGAAGCACTTCACTCCTGAAGATCGTTACAAGGGACGGACCGTCTAGATATCTGAACGACCTTCTTATAAGACCCAATAATTTATTTGCCTGATTTACCTTCTTCTCACAATGGCCCGAGAACTTCAGCTCATTGTCAACATACACACCTAGGTCCTTCTCACACACAGTCTCAACTAGTGCAGTTTCTTCATCCCGTTGGGATATATGATACGCCTCCTTACAGTAGTGATGAGCAAATAATTATCCACCAGTTCACTCACAGTAATTATTAATTACTGTGAGTGAACTTTACACAACATAAGTTTTATTATGTCATACCTATTAATTTTGCTCACTAAACTGTTTCATCGGTGATACTCAAATTCCATTTTACCATCCAGTTTTCCAACCCCTCTGGCTGAGGACATCCTGAATTTGCTGTGTTTTACCATATTTTTGGTAAATTATCCATGCCTTTTTTGTGGGTTTCAATGGAATGTAGACTACAAAGAATTCTCTCTTCCCACAACCTCTTCCTAAGAGAGAATTCTGATGCTGTATGTATATATTCCATTGGAAAAATTCAGGACGATGAGGCTGGGTCTAATCATAGTATTCAGTCTCTTGAACAGGAAGAAACTGTTAGGACTGACTTCATGCTGTCCACATCTTGGCAACCACTTCCATCTGGGGCAAAAGTGTTGGTTACCATGAGTGGAAACAGGCTGCTGTCGACTGCCATGCAGCTGCTGGATAACATTGAGTGTAAGGATGACCCCAACAGGCCATGGATAACATTGGTAAGATCTAAGTCTTCTTTGTTTTCTACTACATCTGAATCTGTGGATTCCTTATTCAAAATATTTTATGAAAATGTCTCTAAGCTTCCTGATATCTCAGCAACTATAAAGAGTCAGGAAGGACAAGCAACTTTGGGTCATCATTCTTTGTTTTTGGAAGGTGATACCAGAATTAAAGTTGGGGGAGCTCCAGAAATGGTTGTGAAACACATCCCCATTTTCCCCATAAGATGAAAAATTCACTTAATGCGATTTGAGTTATGCGAGGTTTTTGCAGAACATAACCATAGTATACAGCAAGGGTCAGGTGTACTATATTAACTCTTCCCTAATATACTGTATTTATTAAAAACTTATCCGTGTTTTATTACAAACAAAGCCAAGGGACCTCAAATTTGTACAGTCCGAGATGTTGTTTGTGTTTGATTGTTTGCTGTGGCATTTGCTTGTGCCAATTGGCGACGGTTATTAAATGGTGGGCAAGTGGCCACCAGTAAGGTTAGGAAGGAATAAATGGGGCAACTCAAAGGTTCCCAGTATTGTAGGTGGAAAAGAGAATTCTAGCTAAAACTTTGCGATTGAAATTGATTTTCCATCTACTTGACAATTCCAGTAGATAAAAAAAATTCAGGGATCAAGGAATGACCTGTATCCCTGTTTTTACTAAACAGCTTATTTTCACAGAGAATGAGTCCCTGTGGGCTGATTCTGATTCTCTCTTAAGAGTTCACAGAATTCTTAACCCAGAACTGAAGATTTTGTGCTTAATTAAAAAAACCAAACATGCCTAAACCTAAACCCCTGTAACTCCCATATTATGTTTCTCAAATCTCTCTGTTTTTTACTACAGATTTTGTCCTCCTATCCACCAACAAATAAACTACATTAAAAATAATACCCCCTTTACACTTACTGTTTCACTAACTGTCTAGTAAACTTGCATACAAATATTTCTTAAGAATTTGTATCCTTACCGGTACAATATCAATGATAAAGGAATGTTTGCCTTCTTGGGGGTCCAGCCCACTGACACCATCCAGCAAGAATGGGTCAGCATTAAGGAAGTGCGGAAAGGATACGAAGGCTGGAGCACCCATACGACATGACTCTGCATTCACAAGACCTGGAAAGACCCCCAAAAGATATACATACTGCTCTTATTTATAGTTTATGGCATAACCTGTTAATCTTTATGAGTATTAAAAAAAGCAATCTGTGTTTTAATCTGTGTGGCATTAATTATTATATATATTACCTGTGAGAACATTTATGGATGTATGTTACAGGTGAATGTTTCAATAGTAAGGATATACTGTAGGTGTGCGTGTCATCAGTTGGGAATGGAATCACAATAGGTCCAAGATATGTGCACGAGTTACCGTACAGAATCTGTCAAAATTTAACATAATTTCTTGAGAAAATGTTAAAAATACCAGAAATATCATTTTTTCACGAAGAAAAACAAAACAAAATTTTTTTAAATGTCATAAGTGATTGATGAATTAACTCCACACTACAATTACATGAAAAGAAAAGAGGCAAAATTGTTCAATTTACAAAGATTAAAATGAATTCATTTACCCAAGGGGTCACAGGTGTAAATTATCATATTATTAGGGGCACGTGTGTGTGTCTTTCATTTGGGGAAGTAGGTGCAAGCATCTCACTCACCTGTGGGGGCACAAGTGTGTTTGACACAATAACATTCATTGCCGGAAACAACACTTCCATTGGCAAAGGTGTGGTTGCTGCCCCAGAAACGGTAACCCTGAAGTTTGGCAACATCTGTGATATCTTCCTTGTAGAACAGCTTCATACTCCTGTAGGGAAAGTTATTTGTATAGGAGGAAGTGAAGAGAAACCTAAAATACTACCTCAATAGCACAAGTGAACACAATCAACTATGTGGAAGTTATCAAATCTAACAAATTAATTCACCAAAATCAAATTTTATACAAGAATCTATAAATCCTCCTGACATGGAGTCATTTCTTACTTTTAATTTTGGAATTTTCACTTTGTACTTTTATGTCGATTTTCCTGGGAAAAAAAATTAAACTCAAATCCCAAAATTTAATACAGGGGGTACCCGGGTTATGAATGGGTTCCGTTCCCAAGGATGTTCGTAAGTCTTAACATATGCTATATGCATACCGTACTTACAAAACAGTCTCGATAAAACCACACAGGAAAAGGCAACTGAATTTACAGGGACTGAGAGAGGCTTATATAGAAGTTAAGGTGTTCCAGTGTTACCCTTTACCTGTGTGGTTTTATTGAGATTCATCTTGTTCACGTTTACATTGTGGACTTACATGAATTACTAAACAATGTTTAAAATCCCACTATTTCCTAACCTAAGTCCCCTAAAAAAAAAGAGGGTCATCAGGTAAATAAAATACAGTAGTACTGTAAATTTCAAGTTTAACCCTGTTCGTATCGGCAGGTGTTCATAAGTCGGGGACCTCTTGTAATTCCTAAAAAAATAAATACAGTACAGTAATTCCGTGTTTTTTTTATCACGGTTTTGACCATTTGCGTTTTTTTTACTAAAAAATTATATATACAGGTATATGTAAAATTTCCTTTAAAAACAAAAATTTAAATTTCGGGCCATTTTTTATATTCCTGTGTGGTGCGACAAACAGACGCCGCCCTTCCTGCCTCAGACACCCGCTGCTCCAAGAAGCCTCAGTCCACACGTGCCGACCGTACTGTGACCGTTACTGTGATTACCTCTTTTGTTTGTCCTCCCACGTGCATTCCACATGGTTCCGGGACATAAGACAGCCCCATCAAAGGCAAATATTATTAGCAAAGACTCTAAAGTGACCAAGAAATCAAGAATAGTGATGACCTTAACGGAAAAAACAGATTTAATGGACAAGCTCAGAGGTGGTATGAGCTATGGCTCGAGATGTGGTGAAGACTGACAATTCATTAGTGTCTTTTGTCAGAATACAAGTCTTCACGTGGAGAAATGTGGGTGGAAGAGGACTGGCTGGCTGGCTGGCGTGACTGAGTGAGGGCGGGCAGACGCCGGGACAGCAGGGAAGAGGCTGGCAATACGGCTGTTGCCGACCTCGGCGAAATATAGAATTTTTTATTTACTTGTAAATAATTTTTTTGTATATAACTGTGTTTCTGTTTTTCCATTATTATACTGCAATATGATTAGTTTCAAATAATGATGTTAGTAAATGCCGGTACAGTGCATCAGTGTGACCACTGGGCTGTGAGTGGAGAGCAGGGCGTGGTTAAGTGCATGACCTGCCTGAGCTGTTTGGTGGCCACAGGTACAGTGATTCCTAAAAGAGTATTCGCGGGGGTTTCAGGAAAGTAATTCCCGCGAAAAACACGGGATTACTGTACAAGACTATCAAGACTAGGGGCAGACGTCCACTGGTTTGGTGTCTTTTGAGCACTAGTGTGTGAGGTTTGCTTTATGACAGGTGGGGCCATTGTATATTGTAAAATATTGCCAGTGAAGTCCCTGATAACACCATCTGTGAGGGAGTTATTACGCTACATGTTTGTTGTTCAACACCTCAGTGCATGTGGCCAATGTGACCTCCACTGTAAACAAAAATTAATATGTTCAATATATGTTCCTTTACCTTTCTCTAATGAAAGCTTTTGTTACCTCCCCCCCCCCATGTCAATGTATGTAATAACTGATTTCTGTCCACTGTATATTTTCAGCCTTTGGGCTGCTGAACTTTTTCAATAAACCATTAATTATTATTATTATTATATGCTACCACACACACACATACACCTACAAGCCACAGGAAAAGACAAATCCTCCCATGTCAAACCACCACACACCTACATGCAAAGATCAGAACTGTAGAAGATGATGTGGTCCTTGCCCGGATGGGGTGGGAAGAGCTCACCAGCTGACCCAGTTACATGGTTGCAGGGGGGTGAGAAGAAAGGTGTCTCCCTTTCCTGGTTCCACCAGTCAATGATTCCTGAAAAAATCTAATATTATCCATACAAAAGTTGAAATCTGTACAGCCCTTGAAAAGTTCCTTGTACACAAATACCCCATACAGGAATCCCCCATTTAACAGAAGCTCATTCTATGAAATTTCAGTTATGGATAGCAAAAATGAAGTTACTGTACTAATTTCACAATACTATACATATATTTTTTCTCACTTTTTATTTATTTTTTAATTCTTGCATTTCATTATGGTTCTTTATTATTATTATTATCATTATTATTACCATTATTATTATCATTATTATTATTATTATTATTATTACATTTTCGCCTCCCAGGCTCCGATGTTTGTCAGTGACCTGTGCCTGAGTGGGCTAATCCCAATGTATATAAAAAAAACCCAAAAAAACAAACACACACACACACACACACACCAGCAATGCGATGTTACTGCTTTGGATATGGGCAAAGTTCACTAAAAATTTTATAATTTAAAATAAAAACATGTAAAGCTATCAAAAAGTCAAATACCAATACCTGTACAGGTAGTCGAAAAAAAGAACGAAAAAAAGGTCAATATAGTTAAGATGTTTGTAAATAAATATAACAAACTAGCGATTATTCTCTCTTACCTAAGTTTTCCAGAGTGTCTACACCAGTCTTCATGTTGAACAACCCATCATAATCCATGGACATATTACGCTGAAAGAACAATCACATTATCATCTTCCATCTACACATGTTATGTAGAGTTACAGTACATTTCATTGTTGGACACTTCTTAATACTGTACAAGCTACTAAAACATTCACATTAGTTGTCAAATACTTTGATTAAAAAAGTTATACTAAATGGAAGGCTTTGAAAACTTTATTAATTTTTTTTTTTAACTTTTGTACTACCTGTAGTATACAATATTGCAGGAAAATGTAGGTAATACAATTTTGTTTTTGAATGTTTGGAAACATGTAAATTACCAATTCTGTGGCAAAGATGATAAAAGTAAAGTATGAAGAAGTCTGCAATCACTGAGGCACTCCTAAACCCTTCTGAGAACAACAATTCCCAACACAATGCAATGTTGTTAACCCTTGTAAAGTTGTCATCATTCTGAATTTCCCATTATGGTAAGCACTGACCCTACCCTTGATTTTAGAGCCCCAGTCAATGATCCAATCCTCAATGTAGAAATAATATACCGCAGCTGCAGTAGTTCTAAGAGCAGAGTAAAATATTAAAAAATCTCAGTGGAGAAAGTAGTCGGCAAGATTGCAATAGAGCTTTGCATCCTCCAGCCTAAAGGAGACTACAGGTTGCACTTTAAAAAATCCCAATATCAATTATCCCAAAACTTAAAAATCCCCCACCCCCTCAAAAAATTGAATTGCCTACACAATATTTTATTTGGTGCTTAGTGAATATTAGAGGTTTTTATAAAGATCTTCAGTTAACCAAAATTCCAGTTACCTGAAATGGCTCTGGTCCCAAGCATTTCAGATTTTTTAAGTGCACCCTAAGCTCACTGCAACAACAGCCAATGCACACGGTTTTGAACAAAAACAATCTCTTTATGACTGGTGTGGAATCAAGAAGAAATCTTCGACAGAATTTAAGTGACTTGTCTGTACAGGAATTGGTCGAGTGATGTGCCGGTTGACTTCATAATTGTTGGGTGCAATTTGATCAGAACGAATTATTTGGATGAGAGTTGACCTGTTACCTCTTAATTGACCTCCCCCTCTAATCTTGTGGCAGTATCCTGTCTTTCATGAGGTGATGAACCTATTCCTGCTGCACAGATGATAAACAGCACATCTGGACATCATATTTTTTACTTTTTTTACTCTTATCTTCTTGCCACTGATCGGCTTGTTAGCCGCTTGGGCAATCGGTCATGTCTCTGTCCTGCACTGATTGTTATTATTATATCTTGGCAAAAAATCAGAGTTACTGATAACAGTTAATGTTTACATCTGTGAAACGTTCCTGTCGTCATCAACATCACCTCATGTGCACTACCGCACACACTACCTCAGCACCAATTAACACGTATCTTAAAGTCAAATACTGTACACGACTTTTGTGTAATACTGTACAGTTCTGCATTTCATTTTATATGGGCAAATTGTAGAACTAATTAATAAGGTTTCCAATGATACTTTATAAATATAAGAATTTTTAGATTGGATTTTCTGGCCTGTAAAGTGGAATAAATTACTTAAGCCAAAGTCTTAGGCCTAAATCCAGCACTGGTAAGGTCATACTATGTGGAACAATTATGCCTCCGAGTCCTGTACAAAGTCCACCTTTACAGACCAAATCCTTCTCTAAAGGTAACACCTGTACATATAGCCTGTCTCATTTGGGCCCTGAGCATAATCCAGGAAGCTCACTTGGGCATCTCCATTCTAACTATCAGTGCAGTGCCTCACTAACTTTTGGGGTTAGATGATCTAACAATAAGACATGTTTTGATTCCAGAACCACAATCCACAAAATAAGACCATCATACATTAAATGACAAATTTCAGATCAGTTTTAACAACAACTTGTGGATAAATTTATACAGTCCGATGTGTTTGGCGACCAGGCAGGCAAAAAGCAAAACACGTCGCAAAGCATCTCCAAGCATCACAGAGAACTGACAGTACTGTATAAGTCAAGTTGTATTTCAAATATTCCTACATCTCGTGGTAACCCGTGACTCCAAAAGGCCAACCTATATGATCTATAAAAAATCTATTCACCAATCACATCCATTGTTACACGACCAATACCCTTTCATTCATAAATAGTGATACTACTTTGCAATGAAGCTGTTTGGAGACATGGGTTATCACAGGGGGTGTAGGAACACATTTAGGCAACTGTATGAGAAGCAAATAAAAAACTTTACTTGTTATATCTTTGGAATAATGGCATATAAACAATATTTAAAATTCTGTGTATGATGGGAAATAGATAGACCAGGAGTGGGGTTCTGGTATAGGTTTCTAGTTTCTATCAATAAAAGACATTTAACTTGAAAGCCACCAGCAGCCACCTACCTGGTAGAACCAAGCAAATTTGTCATATTTGATGACGGCAGAGTTGGGACCAAAAAATGGCAACAGGGTGTGATAGCTGCCATTCTTTGCAACAACATTCTCTTGAATCCATTCTAGTACTGGATCCTGTGGAAAAAGTGCATCTTTGAATTTGTGGACTATACCACCGATATATATAGGCAGTAGCCTTCTCCTTCGATTCCAAACTTCCATTACCTGCATCAGCCTCCTCCTTCCTCCATCCCTCCCACAAGTTTCTCTTGTATCCCTCAACAGTAAGCTACCAATCTCTAATATCCTACTCATTAGCAAAATGCCCATTCCCTCTCACAGGAATCCTTTCTATCCCTACTATCCTTCTATACATCCCTTTCACTACTGTAGCATCTTTCCCATCCCTCTCTTCAGTGTCTTTTCCATCTCACTCACAAGCTTCTTTTCCATGCTATTCCAAATCTCCTTCCCAACCCTCTTACCAGCCTCAAGCTCACCCACTCCTATCTACCTATTTCTCAGGTGATCCTCCTGCCCACACTATTACCTATCCCACCCCTCTCAGCTGGCCATGCTGCTTCAGTTAACTCACCTTGACTCCAGTGAACATAATTTCACTGACAGTGGAGGTGACAAAGAGCTTCTCCCCAACTTCGTTAAACATTACGTTTAAAATTATTTGGGCGAGGCTGGAGTCCCGCAATGCCCACGCTGCTGACTGTTCAAAGGGGTAAGAGGCAAAGTGTAACATTAAAGAAAAAGTAAACTAAGCAATCTAAATATTTTTTTTCATTTATTAATTGTAGAACTACTGTACAGGTGCTTTACTGCACAATATTGCAAAATTATTATTATTTGTTATAAGAGTAACTAGTTTTCCCAGTTTCATTGCAGGAGGTTTGTCACAGGGAGCAGCACAAATCATGTCACAACAGGTAGCTGCACTGATTAACCCTTCAAACTTTTCATCTGATCCTTTGTAAAATTTTGGAAAAAAATTTTAAGATAGAAAAAAAAATAATGGATACACTGTACAGGACAGACCCATTTGTCCAGAGTGAACATAATCATACAGTATTCAAAAGCATAGAGCCCTATTTCCCCTTCCCCAGCTCACCACAGGAATAGTGTTGACGCTGACAATAACATCATCTTGAGTGTTATTGCCTGAGAGCTCCTGGTCCCATATCCACCATCGCTGCTGCTGGTATGTGACTGTGTTGTTGGGGTGGAAGGTCAGGTTCTGCTTCTTGTGGTACTCCCTGGTCCGGACAAACAACACGTGCAATTAGTAATACAGTACAGTCAACGAACTGTTTTTATGACTGATAAACGGGATGCTGTCAAAACAAATTTTTACTTATTTAATTTGACAAGGATTATGTATACTGTATTAGTGCTTTTACTCTAACCCTTTTACCATAACGTTGACCATCTTCTCCACACTCTTAACTTTACTAAACCTGTTCCCTACCCAATCTCAAAACTAAACAAACCTTCGAAAACCTCACTTAACCTGTAAAATGTTATGAATCACTGTCGAGTTTATGGGTCCCTCCTAATCTGAACACCATCATCATATGCTAAACACTGAAAACATCAATAAGGTATTTAAGCTTTTTATAGTTTTAGAATTTTTACAGGTTAGGTCAGGTTTTCAAATGTTTGTTTGGTATTTTTACCTCACATTTTCCCTCTACTTCAAAGCCCTGCCCACTTTGAACAACCATTATTGTTGGTAATTTATTTATTTATATTTGGGGGTGGTTCATATCTCCATAACGGCTTATTTGTGACTGAAATGAAGGCCAGATTTGCTAAAAACACAAAATACACTCAAAAAATTTATTTTGTTAGTGGTCGACTACAACCAAATCGATAAAGTATGAGAACACCGCTACCACCAGAAGGTGTTGTTCAATTTCATAATTTTTTTCCACATAAGTTCTTGTAATTTTACTTTACTTTTATCCTCTTCACCACTGATCGGCTCGTTAGCCGATTGGGCGATCGGTCACGTCTCTGTTATGCACTGTTGGCAAGTACATGCACCGGCTCCTGAATATACCTGAAGCTGCTCCAGTGTTGGTCAAGTCTTGTCTTGAAAGAGCTCACACTCGGAGCCGTCACAACACTTCCTGGTAGATTGTTCCAAGAGTTCACAACTCTCAATCCGAAAAAGTTTGCCCTCACAGTTTTCTGGATTTGTGGCTTCTTCAATCTTGAGCTGTGACCCCTTGTAAGGCGAGTGTCCGCCAGCTCCAAGTAAGGACGACGATAATTTTCTGGATGTCTCATGGCCAAAGTATCTTCACCTCCATGCTACTATATAGTACTAATTTTTGCCCCAATTACCATTCACCGGAAGTTGGCTTGTAGCCATTGGGTCTTTTGCTTGTTGAATGGAACATAATAGTACATTACTGCTTTCTATAATACTGTATTTTGTTTTTGTCAGGTCAAGTCAAGTTAGGTTAGGTTCACCCAACAAAAAACTCGCCATTGTAATGTAAAAATTCTTAATGCAATGGATTCTATTATGTTCTGACCACAGGTCCACCTCGTGTGAAAAAAATGGTGTAAAACGGTGATGACGATTCAAGGAAATTTTTCTTTCTGCAAAAACACATCTCCAACTACATAATGGATGTCAAAGGGAATAATAGTTCTAGAGATACGAACAACCTCTCAGAAATGTCACCCCTTCTATAACTCGAGGGACACTTGTACCTATACACCTCTCTTTTACAACAAGACATAACATTACCTACCCTAAAATTACCAACATACTGTACAGTTAACCCTCACTTTACGCGGTTAATGTAACCCGGAGGGTCCCGCGTAAAGTGAGAAACGCGTAAAGTGAATAACATAACATATGGGATTAATTGAAATGGAGTCCGGGCCGATCCCCAAACTCCACTTTTTGACGACACACAACTATGTTGTAGTAAAAATATTATCTTAACTTTATGATGGTATGCACACACAATTAATAATTATGAGAAATATCAATAATATTAGGTTTTTTAACACTTACATTAGTAGAAAAAATGGCTGGGCACACGGGGATGGGCGGTTGGTTCCGAGGCAGAGGGCAGATTATTGGCCCTCACCTGTGTCACTTGTATCAATTGTATCACTATCCACCACAGAGACTTGCAGGGCCTCTTTGTCAAACTCCCCAAAGTCCATACAAGTCCATATCCTCACCATAATTATCACTATCACTGACTTGGGCCGGCTGTGGTGGGTGGCGGGTGAAGAACTGGTAATGTTTTGATGACTGGGCGACCTTGTGCGCACCATGTTCGCGCCGCTTACACAACATGGCGGATGGCGGGAGGTTTGGATCCAAAAATGGCGCGGCTCGCCAGCCGCTCTCCGCGTAAAGGGGTACACGCACCGCGGAATGTGAGCATCCTGGGTTCCGGCAGGGCACCGCGTAAACGTGGAAACGCGGAATGTGGGACCGCGTAAAGTGAGGGTTAACTGTATTCTGTACTACTAATACTTCTTTCTTCTACACATCACTATCACCCACCTCCACACAAAGGGCCCACACTCCTGGAGGACAGGCTTGTGACCCAGCTGAAATTGCTTGGGGTTGGTCAGGTTGAAGAGGTACAGCTTCAGTAGTAGTGGGTCTTGGGTTTCCTTCCATACTTTGTAAGACTGGGATCCCTCACGAATCTCCAATTGCTGGGGAGAAATTGAAGTTAATAAACTTTTCGAATGTAGTAATAAAATACCCTGTACACTTTCTTTTTTTTAATATTTTTATTTTAAGGCCATATGGAGACAGTGTAACGACCACGGTCATACACGTCAGTTAGCGCCAACATCAAATGATTCATATTACGCTCAATAGCCCACAAAACATGTAACTGCTTTTATTTTGAGTTAAAGGTACCAGGTTGTTCCTTGCAAACTAACAGGAGGTATTGTATGTTACTATAGTTGTGGAGTTGTCCAGTGTGTTATGTATTCGTCGGTAGTGACCATGAAAGAATAACCTGAGAGTATAATGTTCTAACCAAGAATTGAAGGGGTAATTTGTTACTTGTTAAAGTAAGAACTGAGGGTTCAGTGATATCTTGTGAATAATAGTTACGGAATCTCATTTGTCAAGGTAATAATACCACAATTGTCTAATGAAGTAATAAGTATTTGGAGGTGTTTAATGAGGTAATAAGTTCTTGAAGTGTTTGATGACTTAATAAGTTAATTGCGGTTCAGTTTAGCCTGAGTGAATCTAAGATGCATCTTCTCCACTCACTGTGTTAATAAATATTGAATTAGTAATCTACGAGTATCACCACTCTACTCCTTCTAAACATTGGTTCCCAGAAAATAATACTTACTCACGTGCCTATACATCTATCACACTACCCAAAAACTTTCCATGGGTTATGTTATCTTCTAACTCAAAAGTCTGGTGGTGGCAGCCTACTTGTAAGTATAATAAGTGCCCTGAGAATAACATGGTTCCCAGACTAACCCATGTATAAGAACAGACGTAAAACAGAGTATACTTCAGGAAGGTAAGAACATTGAAACTGAGTAAATATAATATACATGGAAGAAATGAAAGACTTGAAAAGTACAAGAAAAGAAAGATAAGACATGTATGTACATTGCGGAACTAACGACACAGCATAGGAATTATTAAATATATACATCATGAAAGTTTAATATAAAGAAAATACATAACTGAGAAGAGAATTACTTGTATAAGAATGTAAAGTGTATCTATAAATAAAGAATGGAAGAATAATAACAGAAAATAATATCTGGATGGTAAATTATAAAAAGAGAAAACTCGGCCCGTCACAACAGTAGAGGTAACAGAGGCAAGAACTTGCATGCAGTTTTCACAAAAATTAGTCATAGCATAGTACACCTTTTCACATATACGTTGAGACATTGTTATATACCTACAGGTATATGACATATTTCATAACCGAATGACAGAACACATATCGAATGACAGTCTAAAATAACTGTTCGTTCATGCTAAAAGAAATGAAAGACAAAGGTTATGAAATTGACAGACGTGAACAATAAACCGACAGTCTGCATATAGTTTGAGAATGAAACAATTGGAGAATGACATACCACCATAAGATTTTGACAAACAGATAATAAATTGACAAAGAACATATATATCATACCTCTTGGTGCATTTTACACAGGGGACGGTCATTACACAGAGGGGTTGACCACCCGAAACCATGAAACATCAATCGAAACAGTCGTATGTACCGGAGATTCAGTGAAACAATGAATACGAGGTGACTTGGTGTGCTATCTGTAGAACGGTATCAGCCCCGAGACACCCACAGTGGGTGACCCACTCGAGGAGTACAGATACATAGTAGGTCTGGCCAGGGCCGGATTCAGGAGTGGGCAAAGTGGGCAGCTGCCCAGGGGCCTCCACAATCTGGGGGCCTCCACATATTACAATATTTTATTTATTTGTTTATTCATTTGGATTATTTTTATTTTCATTCTTTAAAATTCATGTTTATCTATTCCATCAAGTAAAACTATGTTCAGCAAGAAGCGTGATAGAAATTAGGCTAGCTACTCCTTGAAATTCATGAATACCTGGTTTTCCTATGAACCGTATATTTTTAATGAATGCTATTGTTTGTGTTGCTAATAATATATTTAGAATATCACAAACATATATTGATTAAAAATGAACTACATGGAATAACGAAATTGTGATTAAAAAAAAAAAATAAAATATTTTTTTCATTATCACTTCCATTACGAATGCCATCAGGGCGCTGTGTTTGTTGACAGTCGGTCAGAGGGGGTTGGGTCGTGTAGTATCTGCACATCGGTTGTCATGTGTCTGTCGATTAAATGAGGGGGGCCTCTACAAAGAGGCTGCCCATGGGCCTCCACAGGTCTAAATCCGGCACTGGGTCTGGCACACTTCGGAAGCACCCTGCTATGCTTCGCAGACGATATCGCCGGGTGTCAGAGTCCGACAAAGATCGTGATACAATAATTACTCGATATAAAGCTGGAGAGGATTTTATGGACACTGCTGCCGAGCTACGAATTCCAAGAACCACAGCTTATGAAATAATTCGCGTTTGTGGAGACAGGAGAAAGACGGGGCCGACATGGAGGAGGCGGACGACATGTATGCAACATGACTGTTTCTAGAGCTTTGGATGGCGAGCTTATAATCCTGAAACAGGTACACAATGTACCGGCTAACCGCAATTCAGAGGACGTGAAAGCCGTTCGTGTAGCGTTGGCTCAGCACATGTATGAGGATGGCATTCATCAACATCGTGTGTACGTAGATGAAACCGGCTATAACCTGTATACGTGTAGGACCTACGGCCGGGCTCCACGGGGACCACGCGTCAACAGGATCGTTGCAAGACAGCGTGGCAGTAACGTAACATTGATAGCAGCTATCTCCAATCTGGCAGGCCTATTTTATTATGAAATTCATGTTACTTCTGTGACCAAGGAAGTATTAAAAAACTTCATGACCTTGCTGGATTCTGTGCTAGGTCCTGAGGCTGCTGTAATTTTAATGGATAATGCACCACGTCATGCAGGAATTGAACAGGCATTTGAGGATCGTGTCATCAAGAAGCTTCTTCCACATTTATCTTTCCTAAATCCTATTAAGAATTGCTTCTCAGTACTGAAAGCCACTGTGAAACGACAACTGAACAACATAGCTGATCGCTGCGATGCACGTGCTGCACGTCGACATGGGGTCACCTGTAGGATGTATCGAGAGACTTCTCCAACAGGTACTGAGGAGAGCAGTCCCCAGTATTGATGCAACCTCTTGTTCTGCAAACTACCAGCACTCCCAGACATACTTGAGGTATATTGCACGAGAGGACATCTAGGACTGAAATCATAATTGCTAATGACCCGTCTGCCGAATTAATTAATTGTTGAGTTTCTGTATATATCGTATATATTCATGCACTACTGTATCTGCCGTCCAAAGCTTATGTAAATTGTCAAATATATGTGTAAAACTATCCAATCTTTTATTTTCATTGTCAATATCCTTAGTGCTTCGTCAATAATTTTGCAAGTATCTCCTCTGTCAAACTATTTTGTTACAGCGCCAATTCATTACGAGGGAATGTCAAAGGATGAGATATAACGTTAAAGCCATAGGTGTTGAACTGTTCGACCTGTTATGTGACAAGGTGTACTGTGCAGTGATTCTTTAACTGGAGTCACAAGATATCTCTTGGGTGTGCAGCAGTAATATTTTTTATGTTAACAGATCTTAGAAGCAAAGGGACAATTTTGGCAAAATACTCTGGCAAACTTTGACCAGTTTAATTAGTTTATAATTGTATTCCCTTTGCCTGATCGACCTTAGTTAAGCCACTTCTTAACAAATACCGTAGAAAACATAAAATCTAGAATTAAATTCTACATAACTTTTACCATAAGATGACCCTATTGACATCCTGAGGTCCAGGTCATGTGTTAAAACAAATATTAACCTAAGATAACTTTGGGTGAGTTACTTACGGAATGTAAAATGGACTGCAGGGTGGCTTGGTAGCACCCCGCCAACATGGCCACACATAAAATCAACACCACCAACGCCATCACCATGACAGCGATCTGGCAGCCAGTCAGCCATCGCAGCTTAGCCAAATTCTCCTTCACGGCATCCCTTATCTTCTTCAATCGTCCTCCCTCAGGTTCCACCACTACGTCCTCTGTTGGTTCCTCCATCAGTGACTACAGTTAATTGAGTCTTGAGGCACTTGATACAGGTCACAGACTTTGGGCTACACCACTGTCCTGTCGTCCACCACTGGAAACTGAACTCTGTGAGTCTGTAGTTTGTACTGGAGCTTTGTTGGTCTCTGACACTGTACAGTCACCCAAAAGAGTCCTGTCGCGAACCACGATTCAGACTCGTGAACCCGAAGCCGTAGACACCGATACATTATTCTGTCCATAAATGCTTCGGATTCAAGAGTTTGAATCTCGGGGTTCATGGTTCGCGACATGACTTTTTTGGGTGACTGTACCTGTACTACTGTAGTGTAGCAGGAAGAGAGGAGTGGAGGTTTGTGAATTTAACGTGCATAAATATTGTACATGGCAACTAATTATCATTATAGTTACTCCCTACACCACAACATATGGGGCGCAGGGGTGTTGGAAAGGTCAAGTGTATAGGGAATTGAATATCATATAAATATGATTAAGTATGCTTTGTATGTTCGGTATCACAAGAACGCTGTACAAGACATTATAAAGGAATATCTATTTTAATGATAAAACACAGTTACTTTTAACCATTACTTAAGTTACTTTATTGATTAACTGTAGATCAACACGAGTCACTTTAGGACACATACCTGTATATAATAGTAATACTATTCTTTTGCTTTCATTCATTAATGTCAATATCCATCATTTACCATCGTCAAAAATATAGCTGTCTCTCTCTCTCTCGCTTCATGACAAATAACAAAGAAGTGGATTTAGAGGACGCACATGACATACCAAGGAGTGGCACTATGGGAAGGGGCACTCAGCAGCGCCTCCTTTGCTTTAGTAATGTAAACGTGTAAAACTGTACTGTATTGTGCTCGTTTCAATAAATTATGCAGCTGCAGGTACAAGGTTCTAGAAAGATCGTTAGACGTAACTGCCCCAAGCGTCTCAAGAGAGGGCGTAAGGGAAAGCAAAGCCCTGTTGATAGCAACACTGTAGCTGTTTCTTGGTACAGTTTGATGAGGGTGGGAGTGTGTCCACCAGCAGTGGTAACAGCGAGCATGATCAAACAGACTTATTACTGGTGAGGTGGAGAAGGTAACAGAAATAACCTAACGTTAAGTGTTTAGGTAAAAAAAAAGGTCAGTTAAAATAGGAGTGTCTGCCGACGCCTGAGTACAGATCACACAGAGAGAGACTTCTGTATTATAGTGGGAAGTCATTCGGTTGGGACTTGTCCATTGTGGGCTTCCCTGTAGCCTTGAAGTTTATGGGTGACTTAGTTGTGACTTCGATAATGAAGGAAATTGTCGAACCCCCTCTAGAATCTCCACCCCAACTTACATCACCTGAAGATTAACCACCGTAACGCTATTACATGTACCTGGGTTTGAGTCCTTTCCTGCCTGGACGAACTCGGTGTGAGCCTTAAAATGAATGTTCCCCGCAGCTGAAGATATTAGAATGCACCTTACTAAACGACTTAAGATACATAAACACATCAAATAGTATCTCAGTTATATCTTCATTAGCTACGTTCGTTTATCCCACGTTAGGTGACAGAATGAACGAAGAAAAGCTGTCCAAGTATATGTTCGTTAGTTCTGTGTGGTGTTAGTGAACCCATCCAACTAAACCCATCGGGGAAGCCATATGAGAGAGAGAGAGAGTCATTAAGATGTCTAGAGGTTGATAAATGATAATCTATCTATGTTATCATCGTTATCATCAGGTAATATAAATATTCAAGTGCTCACCCGCCTCTTCACCACCACCACCACAACAACAACAACAAGAGTTCCTGCTTAAATTGACAAAGTAAACAAGACCGAGCAATAATGACCTTGTTGGGGCTGGTTTATAATGCTGTAGTGTTGGGGACTGACAGGTGTGTAGTCTTTGTGTTGTACTGACAGGTGTGTAGTCCTGGTGTTGTACTGACAGGTGTGTAGTATTGGTGTTATACTGACAGGTGTGTAGCCTTGGTGTTGTACTGACAGGTGTGTAGTCTTGGTGTTGTACTGACAGGTGTGTAGTATTGGTGTTGTACTGACAGGTGTGTAGTCTTGGGGTGGTTGTACTGACAGGTGTGTAGTCTTGGGGTGGTTGTACTGACAGGTGTGTAGTCTTGGGGTGGCTGTAGTGACAGGTGTGTAGTCTTGGGGTGGCTGTAGTGACAGGCGTGTAGTCTTAAACCTACATCAAGACGTCTTCTCATTGGTTCAGTGTTGGAATCTTAGGACGTCTACAATATATGCCAGTCATCTTTACGTCAAAGCGCTCAGGAAGATTCTCAAAGGTTCGTGTGTTCAGTTTTCCTCTTGGTTGGAGATACAAGAATGAGCCTATGGCCTGATTTGACCAACAAACCAAACAGAACGTCCATTATGGCACAGAATTATTATGAGACTCTTGTCATAAATTAATGAGTTCACTTCAGTAATCCCGACCCTGAGCAATCCCGTATGTAACACTTCTTGATTTGTAAATATATTATTACAAGTAATATTTTTTTCTGTGTACCCCGGCGGTCAGATTTCTCGGCAGGATATAGACACAACACCCTCAACTGAAGACATATATCACAAACGGTAATATAATTTGATTTAAGAAGTAATTTTGCTTATTATTTATATTACCTACTCAGCAGAACAAAAGGGTTCCTAGACTGCTATTTCAACCAATCTCACGAATTATTTCCTTTAGCTTAACATGTAATTTATCATGAGTACAGTATAAGTGATCGATCCGTTACGTCAGTACAAAACAGGGTGGCCGGAGCTAACACTAAGCAAACACCGGTATAGTTGTCGTCTATTTCCTGTAATATAATTATTAACTTATTACTCAATGGTCATACAGAGACTCAGTGTGTACGTGCTATGCCTACAACTATGATATGTACCAGTCCAGGGTTCCCAACTAGGAAGCTAAATATAGAGCCGTGTTGAGTGTGATCAGTTTACACTATTCTCGGGGAGTAAGTGGGAGGGTAAGACTAGACTAATGGCAACAACCAGTCTAACTCAGTCATATTTATCAAAACAATGCTCGAATAACGAAACCTTGTATCCTACCTGCATGAAAACACACAGAACATCAACTGAGGCACACCCTCGTGATCCGTAAGGAGCGGTGAAGCGTTCTGGTGGAACGTGAGTCTACTGTCTCCACCACCCACAGGTCCCGCACGCGTTCAAGTACAATTATTATTTTTTTATAACGAATTCGCAAGTGGATGTATAATTCATTTACTTTATTTAGTAAATTATTTGTAGAATATATCAAATTTTCTTTGTAGCCAGATTGCCCACAACCTTGCTTTGTATGGGGCCACTTTTGTGTGGGGCCCTTGCCCCCCTTTAATCCGCCATCGATTCACTGTAGAACTTAAAGAAAAATTCAACTGTTTTCGCAGTGGTAGAGAAGGATGGGAAGCTGAGTGCTTGGTATGTACACCTCGTACTTGCGTCTGTGACAAACAAAGGCGCAAATTATTAACAAACTCAGTGGACTCAGACAGGCACAAGGAGAAAATTGGTTGATATTTTGTAAGACCAGACAGCTAATCATAGGACGCATTTACTGGAGCATTATGGAACACATTATATAACAGTAATACGACACGAGTTAATAAATACTGGTACAAATACTCCCCCCTGCCCCCCTCGGCAGAGTGCCCTCTGTTTTCAATGTTCAAATGAAGTGACCAAAGTCATAACAGTGTGACCGAGAGTATGTGAGTAAAAGATGGCGGCGGTCAAGTTGGTACAAGGAACATAATTATCATGAAGGCTGACCCAGCGTGAGGCTACACATATGTACAACGAGAGGTCAAAGGCTTAAGCTGTTGGAGACGCGCCCAGAAGTGGCTGAGAAAGAGCAACATCTTGATAAGCTTTGTAGACGAATGGAACAATTTACCAGAACAGGTGGTCTCGTCTCCATAGTTATATGCTAACCTCTGAGACTAGAGGCCTCTTGTCTGTGCCCAGAATAAACACAAATAACATTAGTAGAGAAGAATATTTAGTACATCAGTATATAAAGAAGAGCGGAATGTGGGCTTCCGTTCCGAGTCATTAGGGAAGGGCCTTATCATTATAGTATAACAAAGGTAAAAGTGGAAAGACATTATAAACGGAAACACTTATCAAATGACGCAATTAATTCACCAACACGCTGCCAGGACACCACGAAACTGGCATCCTCTTGCCTGTTTTACCACCAACGGGTATTAACTCACTGGTTGCACCACATGATGCAAGGGAAATCGATCTTCCTCTCCTGTCCTTGTTTCTTAAAAGTCGAGACACGTGTTAACAATGCCGCACTGCCGCTTTAATTCGCCAATAAAGGAAGTTATAGTTAGTGGCTGGCTACGTGACGTCATTGCAATTGATCCATTACAATCATGCGTCAGTACAGTTTCAGGTGCAACATCTTTCCGACTGGATTACCAGCTTAAAGTTATAACCTTTCTCCCGTGTGGTTCGACTACTAGGTGATAAGCTACTGACCTGGGAGACTCCTGTGGTGACCTCGTGCTGAACCTGATCAGAGGCAGCTGGAGCAGACTTGTATCTTGAAATGAGGAGTGCGGCGTCTTGAGGTCCGAGTTATTCACCGCCCTCACGTCTATTAGTCACCAGCCACTCACCACTCTGTTGACTTGATCACCCCCCTCACGCCTGGCAACATCTGAGTCAGTAGTCAGTGGAGGGATACTCTGTAGTTGAGGTAGTAGTCTAGTGTATGCTTCTTGTTTGGTTTGCATGTAAAGGCAGTAATTCCGATCCTCCCGTTATTACTACTGCCTCTATTCTGCTGTCACGTGCTCTGGCAACACTGTGTCCAAGACGATGCTCCAACAATACATAGACTTGGGCGATATGTTTATTTAACTCATGAGATAGTGCGTGACGTTATCGTGAGGCCAGTGATTCACCCAGCGCAGTCCTGCTCTGGTGGTCCAAGTATAGACAACATCGACTTGCTGTTAATATTCCTTGTACGAATAAGTGCTCTCAAAGATAGTCACAAGGCACAATAACACACGTCACGTCGCTCCTCGTGCCGCCAACCACGAGCGCTTAAGTGGTAACACTGGTGTGCACTGTGGAAAGTTCCGGCGACACTGAGCCGCTGACTGAGCACCCGAGTGTAGCTGCACCCAGCCTAGAACACCAGTCCTCCCAGGGACTGGGCGGTGGCCCCATCCCCCACCTCCACTACCATCGCAGATAGTGTATTTACCTGTGTTGAGTGAGGCCGGGAGAGGAGTGTCGTATATATGTGATGGGTTAAATTTGGGACTGACAAGAGGATGAAAATGATCTTGCTTACAAGTAATGGGTAGTACTTGATATTTTCCAGCCAATAATGTTTTGAGGTTGATAAGTTTTTATTTAAATTTATTTAATGAAGACTCCTACAGTACAAGCATATATATATATATATATATATATATATATATATATATATATATATATATATATATATATATATATATATATATATATATATATATATATATATATATATATATATATAAATATTTACTGAAGATAACATATAAAGTATTAATGATACGTATTAGCAACAGTGGTTCACAGTTGTGCAATTGTGTGACGTATGAAGTGTATAATAGTGGCGAGGAGAGTGAGGGGAGAGATTATTATGATTGATGTCCCAGTATTAAAGGTTTCTTGACATTTAGAAGGAAGAGGGTGACAACAAGAACAGAGAACGTGAATTATTGATAGCTGCGTGGACACTGCAGCTGCGTGGCAAGAAAGGGATCCTGAAAGTAAAGGGAAACAACAGCTTGATGCAAAATCTTATCGATTTTTATTTTGTGTTCAGATCTCTAGAGCAGCCAGATAATATAATCCACCAGAGTCACTAAGAGAAGATCATTGTTGTGAGGGAAGTGAGATAAAGAACAGTAGCGGCCTAAGTGGTTGGCAAAGTGCAGGCAGCAGGAGGTGTAACTGTGACATAGTTGAGAGAGGATTTTCTGGATGGAAGGCTTGTGGTGGTGAGATTAATACGTGTATGGGATTTGGGATAATTGATGTGATACAGTAAAACAAAATTTCGTCGTGTAACAGTTTAAGGTGTCACTCGATTACGACATGAAGGGCAGTATCCCCAAGGAGTGGTGGTGAAAAGCTTTGGTTTTCTGTTGTTGTGTCGGTGAAAAGGTTATGCCTCCCGAACCAGCACCTGGAGGTATTTTTATATATCCTGTCATGTTGTTGTTGCATATAGAAACATGACACTAGCGCCTACGAATCATACGCCTGGCAACGAGTTTAAAACAAAAACAAACCATTTATGTTCTACAATTAAAAAACAACAACTAAAATTAACATAAAACTTTCAATAATGTCCATAATAAGACTTGATAGGAATAATATCGATAATGGAATACTTTATAGAATTGAGTGATACTGCATTCGCGTTGGCAGTTGTAACTTCGTCGAGTTGTCAACACTCTCTAGAGACGTCACACATCCTGTATAACGTCACCTCTCTCTCTCTCTTTCTCAGTGTATGTCCGCTCTCTTCAAGGCCATTCTTTTCTGGTACATGACAAGAAAAATGCGTGTCTATATTTTAAGTACTGAATCATTTTAAAGAGAGAGAGAGAGAGAGAGAGAGAGGGGGGGGGGGTTGAAGAGGGTGTTGTCCAGTGTGGCCCTCCCAAACATTGCTGATTTTGTGTGGTTCTCTGCTTTCCTTCTGTACTAAAAACTAGACACTTAGGTCATAACAAAGAACAGATCCCCCCCCCTCTTCTCTCCTCATGGTAGCAATTCTGGCTTTAAATAAAATTAATTTATATACGTTTTACTTCACTTTATTAGAGAACTTGAGAGCGTAAACCTGTCACTTTTATCTTAGTTCACATGGTTAAACGTCAGCGTCTATACGGATGTTGTGTAGTTTATCTTCCTACGATAAGATTTGATCACCTGAAGTATGGCCCTAGAAATATGGCCCCTGAAATATGGCCCTGAAGTATGGTTCCTGAAGTATGGCCCCTGAAGTAAGGCCCATGAAATATGGCCCTGAAGTATGGTTCTGAAGTATGGCTACTGAAGTAAGGCCCTTGAAGTATGGCCCCTGAAGTAAGGCCCCTGAAGTATGGCCCCTGAAGTAAGACCCCTAAGTATGGCCCATCCCCCCATGAAATATGGCCCCTGAAGTGTGACTCCTGAACTATTGCCCCTGAAATATGACTCTTGAAGTATGGCCCCTGAAGTATGGCTTCTGTAGTATGGCCCCCGAAGTATGGTCCTTGAAGCGTGGCCCTTGAAGTGTTACTCCTGAAGTATGGCCCCTGAAGTATGGCCCCTTATGTATGACCATTGAAGCATCACACACACACACACACACAAAACAGCTGATAGCTAAACCAAGACCCCTATGGTATACCCCTCAGCTAAACCAAGACCCCTATGGTATACCAGCTAAACCAAGACCCCATACCCTCAGCTAAACCAAGACCCCATGGACCCCTATGGTATACCCTAAACCAAGACCCTATGGTATACCCTCTGACCCCCATGGCTAAACCAAGACCCTATGGTATACCCCCCTCAGCTAAACCAAGACCCTTATGGTATACCCTCAGCTAAACCAAGACCCCTATGGGTATACCCCTCAGCTAAACCAAGACCCCTATGGTATACCCCTCAGCTAAACCAAGACCCCTATGGTATACCCCTCAGCTAAACCAAGACCCCTATGGTATACCCCTCAGCTAAACCAAGACCCCTATGGTATACCCCTCAGCTAAACCAAGACCCATATTAAATCAAAACTCAATGTTACAGATTGATTAGCTGAATCTTCGTCTGTTACAGCACAAGTGAAAGCTAAATCAACATTCCTTAAACTAAAAACACACGTGGACTTAAGTCATGGGATATCTTTACCAGCTAATTCAAGACTGTGATAGCTTCATTCATTCATCTAAAAAATATTTTCCTAAATCACGAGTCACTTTTACCACGGTCTTAATTAAAAGTTCAGTATGCAGCTAAACGTATATTGATACTTCTTCAGGATTGTGGTGTCTCAGCAGCGGGCAAAGATGGCGAGGAGGATGGTGAGGACTCCGAGCGCCAACATGATGGAGAAGATGATGGTCATGGTCGGTGTTTTCATGATGAAGAGCAGTAAGGAGAGCTGGCTGGCCATATCCTCAGGTACGCCGGCTACCTCCTCGAACCATAAGAGCGGTAGGTATACCTTGGGCACGTCCTTGAGAATACTGGAGAGAGAGGGAGAGAGAAAGAGAGATAATCGGTATAATTATCACACTTGTTTGTATTGATTACTCACACACGCACACAGAGATCGCTTAGTCACCGATTCACTCACCCAACCACTGGCTCGGACATATATCAACTTAACTGAATGAATGACAAAGGTTTTTAGTCATACTTACGTTATTTTTCCCAATTTAAATTTGCCTGGGTAAGGTCTAACATACATGTTGATCTGCATCCTTGCCGATACCCACATCGGTGTACCAAGCTCCTGTGACGACGGAAAAAACCCCACATTTTAATATATACAGAATAAGTCCAGTTATGGTGAATCGTGCAATACTTTTTCTAGCGGTGATCAGGGAATTATTTTTATTTATATCTTGGTATATTTCTGATAGTATTCGAATGGTTAATGACTGTTGTTCCTTTCTGAGGTCAAGAGGTTCCTACCGGTATGAGGCCAAGAGGTTACTTCAGTATGAGGTCAAGAGGTTCCTACCAGTATGAGACCAAGAGGTTACTATCAGTATGAGGCCAAGAGGTTTCTATCAGTATGAGGCCAAGAGGTTCCTACCGGTATGAGGTCCATGGTGAAGGCGTGTTTATCTGCTTCAGGAGGGGAGACGCCCGTCACACCGTCCAGCAGGAAGGGGTCGGCAGCGTAGAAGTGAGGGAAGGAGATAAATGCTGGAGAACCCATACGACACGACTCGGCGTTCAGGAGGCCTGGTGAGGGGAGAGTGAGGGGTGTGAGGTGCCTGGTGAGGGGTGTGAGGTGCCTGGTGAGGGGAGAGTGAGGGGTGTGAGGTGCCTGGTGAGGGTGCCTGGTGAGGGGTGTGTGAGGTGCCTGGTGAGGGGTGTGGGGTGCCTGGTGAGGGAGGTGAGGGTGTGGTGCCTGGTGAGGGGTGTGGGTGCCTGGTGAGGGGAGGTGGGGTGTGTGGGGTGCCTGGTGAGGTAGGGTGTGAGGTGCCTGGTGAGGAGAAGGTGCCCAGAGTGGGTGTGAGGTGCCTGGTGAGAGTGGGGTGCCTGGTGAGGGGAGAGTGCCAGCCTGGTGAGGGGAGAGTGAGGGGTGTGAGGTGCCTGGTGAGGGGAGAGTGAGGGGTGTGAGGTGCCTGGTGAGGGGAGAGTGAGGGGTTAATTGCTTGGTGAGGGAAGATTAGATGCACAGTAATGAATGTATGTGTGTGTGTGTGTGTGTGTGTGTGTGTGTGTACAGATTACCTGTAGGGGCACAAGTGCCTTTGACACAGTAACACTCGTTGCCCTCGACCACACTGCCATTAGCGAAGGTGTAGTTGGTGCCCCAGTAGCGGTATCCCGGCAGGCCGTTGACGTCAGTCACCTCCCCCTTGTAGAACAGCTTCACGCTCCTGAAGAAGACCACCACCAATATTAAAATCTGTAGAAGGATCAGTGTGACTGGTTCTGTCCACAGAATTTGATGGTAGTTCTCCCTCCCTTTAGCTCCCCCTCCCTTTAGCTTCCCCTCCCCCCGTCGCGGTGTATGAGCCAGGACTTACATGCATAGATCAGAACTGTAGAACTCGATAAAGTCCTTCTTTAAGCCAGGAGGCCAGATCTCTCCCGCCGACCCCGTCACTTTGTTACATGGGTAGTCGAAAAAGGTGGTGTTACGCCCATTGTCCCACAAATCAATCAGTCCTGTTGGTGGATGACGGAACAAAACGTTAACACGATACTCTTGATAAAAATGGTCTTTGTAGGAGTGTTGGTGAAGTCCGTTTCCGGTGAAAATACTACAACCTGTAACCAACTTCCTCATGCAATGCTTCTCACTTTCTTCATAAATCAACCACACAGTAAAAAGATACGGGATAGACAGTGTAGGCAATGTAGACAATGGATCTATTCTATGTATATCATTAATTTTACGATAATATGTAGAATTTATCGACATGGAGGGACGCTAGTGATGGAAGGTCCAGTCTCACCTACGTGGTCAAGTGTATCCTCCCCGGTAAACATGTTGAAGAGGCCATCGTATGTGAGAGAAAGATTACGCTGAAGATGAGAAACAATTCACTCTATTACAACACACTCTTAAGTCAGTTTACACGTACAGTAACCTAAAAAAAATAAATTAATATATATTGAATAATTGGCCCAAGATGCCTCAAAGGAATGGTAACTATCGTAAAAATATATCTATTGAATTAATCTTGGTCGAATAGCGTTAAAAGCAGCATAAAAAATGTTTAGCATGAAGTCTATTATTTTTTAGGGGTGTAAATAAACAATACAACTGAGGTAATAAACTTATCAGTGAAATAAACAAATCAAAACAAAGCCAATCAAAATACAACAAAGGGATGTGCACCTTTAGATAATAGGAAACTATTTTATAATGATAATAATAAAAAAATCTTGATGTTAGGTTCTGTTATTAAAGGAACTTGAGTCCTTAATTCATAGAAAATCTTAACTTAATGTCCTCAAAGCTAGAATACCTCGACTTCATCCCATCACAGCTATAAAATCATCATACTTACATTGTAGAACCAGCCAAACTTGTCGTAGTTTGTAAGGCCAGGAGGTAGAATGTTAGAGATATTGGTGATGTTTACTATGTTATTCTGCATCCAGTCCAGCAGAGGATCCTGGGAAAGACATAAACATACACACACATAGACGCTGAGTTGAGAAAGACCTTTGAGCTGAGACACATTGTTACTCCTCCTATAATAATATGAACCAAAGAAAGGCACACACACACACACACACACACACACACACACACACACACACACACACACACACACACACACACACACACACACACAGAAGAATGGTATGCACAAGCAATAAGGTGAGAGAAGGCAAGGTGAGAGGGGTCTGAAAGGTGGTACAAAGAGGAGGAGGAAGGGGAAGAGGAAACGGAAGAGAAGGAGGCAATCAAGAGAGCCTGTCAGGATGTTATCAAAGGAACAGGTCGAGAGGAAGGGAAAAGTTAAGGAGGAGGAGAAGAGAGAGAGAGTGTTTTACCTGGTATCCATCGAAAAGCGTCTCATGTACTGTGGCTCTGGCGAAGAGTTTTCCTTCTGTGAGACCAAGATGCTGTTAAGACCTGTCAGCATTAATGGTTTGTTTCTCACACTCCACGCTGCCGACTGTGTGAGAGAAAAATGGAGTGTTAGATCTCTCTCTCTCTCTATCTCTCTCTCAGACTCACACACACACACACACACACACACACACACACACACACACACACACACACACACACACACACACACACACACTCTCTCTCTCTCTCTCTCTCTCTCTCTCTCTCTCTCTCTCTCTCTATCTCAGACGCGCACACATACACACACACACACACAGTCTCTCTCTCTCTCTAGCTTTCTCTCTCCATTTTACTCTTTATTTTTTCTCTTTCTCTGGTTTTCTACCTTCTCTCTTCTTTGTTATTTCTCCTTTCTTTCCTCTCATACTTTTATTCTATGTTTCTGTCTCTCAGTCTGTCTGTTTGTCTGTCTCTCTGTCATCACGATGAGGACAACATTTGGGGAAATATCACCACACAGGACGTCATCACCATAGGAAGAATCATCACCACACAGGAAGTTATCACCACACAGGAAGCCATCACCAACAGGCATCATTCATCACCATAGAAGTCATCAGTAATCACCACACAGAAAGTCATCGCCATCAGTCATCATCACATAGGACGTCATCACCATCAATCATCACCACAGAAGATACTCACAATGGGAACGGTGTTTAAGCTGGTGATAATATCGTCGAGAGAAAGATTACCGGAACACCCTTGGTCCCACAGCCACCACCGCTGCTGGAAGAACGTGACCGTGTTGTTGGGGTGGAAGGTCAGGTTCTGCTTCTCGTGGTACTCTCTGGCGGGAGGAGTCGAGGTTTCTATTACAAGTGTCACATAACAAAGTCTGTTTAGTACCCACAAGAGCACTAGCTGTTTTAAAGGGATCACATTTCTAGATTCGATTTTTTTTTTAGGAATGTGGGTTTTCCACTACAGGTGTTAGGGATGAGAGCGCCGAGGGCATCGATGGATCTTGGATTTAGAAAGATAAGACTATTGAATTTATACGTATCATGTGCTGTATTCATTCAGCATTGACGATATGGTTAAAAAAAGTAGGGAAAAATTATGGTATTGCTAGATAACTTATTTACTATGGAAGAAAAGTTTACGTCTGTCTGTCCAAATTTTCATCCGTTTGCATAACTTAATTGGAATCTAGAAACTGTGATAGGTAGTGACGTAGCAATATGTAATCAAAGCTTTAAAATCGAGCATGACAACTTGTTTTTGCTCTGTGTTTATGCAGTCATGTTCTGAAGGTCACCACGTTGGGAGATCTAGCGACTTGCTGCTCCACACGTCCATAATGTGTAGTGAAGTGTTGTTTTGTTCAGTTTGTCCCATGGTCGTGTTTTGTACAGCTTGTCCCATGGTCGTGTCCTGTACAGCTTGTCCCATGGTCGTGTCCTGTACAGCTTGAAACTCTAGCCTTCAATTTATAATTCTTTAATTCTCTTCATCTTCTCCATCATGTCTCCACGTAGGATGAGAACACTGTCAGTATCTTCATCTCTCAGACGGTCTTCATAAACCAAGTTCTTCAGGCTGGGAACAAATTTCATTGAACATATCTGAACATTTTGGAGTGAATGGATATGTCTATCACCTTTTTAGGATGTATTACAGTGACGTAATCTCAATGTGCAGGGTAAACATCATGATCTTTTGTAGTCATCTGAAGTTTGCTTTATCTACGTAAGTCAATTCATATTTCACTAAAAACTGACGTCAGCATGAGATCCACAATCCTGTAACAGCCAATGGGTGAATTTCTGATAACTTTGCTTTAATTTTTCCTTGTTTGTTTAATTATTTCTCCGGAAAAATGCGGACCGATCCCAAAGGGCAGTTTTGGCTGCAGTATAAAAAAAAAAAAAAAAAAATCGTGAAATCTGTAAAGGCAAAAAATGAGATCGCTTCCTGTAATGATACAATTTAATCTTTAGCTCACCTATAGCAGTAAGGCCCGACCTCGTCCAGGACGGCCTTCCCTCCTTTACTGAACTCGTCAGGGTTGGTGAAGTTGTAGAAATAGAAGCGGAGGTAGAGTGGCACGGGGGTGTAGTGCCATATATCATACGACGTGGATCCAGGTTGAATCTCCATTTGCTACCGGGAGGACAAGAGCAGTTATTGGTTTGACAGAAGTGTATTTTGAGAGTTATTTATGACAGAAAATTACAGTAATCATAATATCTGCCCAAGTGTAGATTGTGACAAGTCTCGTGACCTCGGTGAGACAGGGATTATAGTAACTGATATGAGTGACTTAATATATCTAATGTGCGATTTTAATAATTGCCTAACAGAGTATCGTCATGTCTCATTCCATTAGCAAGTATTATTATATACCATATCAAAGGTAATTGTGAACATTCTAGCTGGAAACACGTGTAGAGAAAAGAAGCTCTTATACAATAGTTACCCATAAATTCATTTCTCTGATATTAGAGAAAACGTAAAATATAAGTTTACACCAAAGGCTATTGTAATTTTCGGGACTAACTAGTACTAGACAAATAGATGGATCTTTATTTAGTAACATAGTTATACAAGTTTACATATATTCAACATACACACAGTGAAGGTATACACCATACATAGTGCAGGTCGGTCGTTTCATTCTAATTTTGAATAGTTTGCTGCTGTTACTTAAAATACTAAAGTAAATTATTCAAGTCTTTTATGACCTTAAAGGTATTTTTATTTTTGTTTGACCGACTGTAGCACCTCAATATAAAAACAAAATTAGCGATAACAGTATTACTATATCAACCACCGTTTCTTGCGTCGAGTACCAAGATGATTCTCACCATCTTATCTCGTTGATGATAATTTGTAGTTAGGCTGTTGGATTTTGTGACTGAAAACCTACTGTAGTTACCAAGAGTAGCCTGTGACGTTGTAAGAGTGAAGTTGACAGATAGCGCAATAAACACACAGAAAACTTTTTAATTTAACAGACAGACAGACAGACAGACAGACGCAGCTGGAATGGCCTACCGACTTGAGGATGGCGTTGAACATAGCATTGTAGCCCCCTGAAAGCATAGCGGTCCCAAGCGAGGCTGATAGCACTCCTAGCATCAGAAGAGTCACCCGGCAGCACGACCATCTCTTTTTGTAGGCCGGGCTGGGTGTGTCCTCCTCGACCACTCCGCTTCCTCCTGACGAAGACGAAGTTAACATTCTAGTGATGACTCTACTTAATTAAATCTTACTTATGAAACTTTTATTTCTACCTTAATTAGATACTGATTTACTGATTTACTTACGGGTATACACAGGAACCACACACTCACACACAAAAGCGAAGCGTGTGTGTATGTGTGTGTGTGAGAGAGAGAGAGAGAGAGAGAGAGAGAGAGAGAGAGAGATCCCTCAGTATTGTACCATACTCTTCCCTTACTAAGTGAAGCCACTACTAGACTCTATGTCTGATACAGGAGGCCAGTAGCCTTTTACGTAACTCATCTTTGCATCAGCAAACTGTAATGACTGAAGTTGTTTATCTCTTATCAGGTTAAAGTCTAAGGAACTCAAGTTTTAAGTCTGAGAGCCACGGGAGCCTAGCAAGAGAGAGAGAGAGAGAGAGAGAGAGAGAGAGAGAGAGAGAGAGAGAGAGAGAGAGATTCCTGTTAACATACATCGGACAATTTCTCAGAAGTGTTTATTTTTATTTTAATTTTTATTTGGAACTAAAAATTAGAAACAAGTAAATTTATGTTTTTATTCATTCCTCACAACTACCTCCAATACAGACAGCTCGGGTCATTTGCCTGTGGCCCATTGTTGATATTTACTTCAATATTTTGGATGGAAAATTTAACTAAAAAGAAAAAATAAAGATTGAGAGTTTTACCTTTATCTCCATTATCTTCACTACACTTGTCTGTAATACTGTACAAGGTCTTAGAGTAATGTTTTGTTATAACACCAGGTCCGACCATGCTTGTCCTTGAGCTTATAGTCTCAGGGTTAATGGTAGATGGACACAATTATCTGTCAGGTAGTTTATTATTATTATTACTATTATTATTATTATTATTATTATTATTGTTATTATTATTGTTATTGTTATTGTTATTATTATTATTATTATTATTATTATTATTATTATTATAAGTAGTAAAAGTATTTAACCGGGTAATCTATATCAGTCGCAGTTGTAGTAATCGCGGAGGTGTTACCTGAACGGAAACAGCAGTTCAGAAGTTATGTTACAGCCTGGTTGAGATGTCGACTGTCCTTCTCTCTGTTTAGGCCTGCTTTGCTCTGCTCAGGGGAACGAGAGCATCGGCCCCAAAGCCGACAATAGTTGCAGATATCGACTTTGAGGCAACAGTCACTGAATGCTGCATAGATATGCGGCTCAACTATCTCAACACAGCTAGGATAGCTACTTATGTATTAGGATAGTTAATTTTAAGGTAATAAAATGGCGGCGAAGGTGTGGCTATTGGGGGAGGCTGGAGGCTACGTTTATAAAAAAAAATAAAAGAAAAAAGTACTAGTAGTAGAAGTAGTAAAAGTATTTAACTGGGTAATCTTGTCATGGTCACGTTGACCGCTGATCTATTTAACTAATGATTTTTATTAAACTCCACGACCGCAAAACATGAGTGAGTTAGCGACCCCTGAGAAGACGTGTTTTTCCCCATAGACGCTACACTTGTGTTTCCCTCCCAGAGTCCAGCCTTTGTGAAGACAGTTATCAATGCGTTGTTATTCCATTTTCTCCTGGGAAGCTCAATCTTGAATTAGTCTGTGTAAATCATCTCAAGTAATTCGCCAGACCTTTGTCAACTGAGGGTCATCTTTGAATGAGTAACAGTTAGTTTGTTTGTGATTATTGTCATTGCGTGAGTAGCGATCACTGGCAACTCAGGGGTATTTATACCCGTGCATCTCGCAAGGAGAGCGCCCCCTGACGCTGCTCCAATGTGTCTCCAGATCCCATTGTGATTCTTGCATCGTTCAACAACGGCCCCAGATGTAGTAGAAACCCAGCAGGGATTATATATGAAACGATGGCACCGATGCGGCCCGATTAATGTGCTTCACTGCCTCGTTGGGCCAGACCCCAGACTCGCCATGTGCCTGGCTACTACCGACCACAACAACGGTCGTGAGCCCCAGTGTTCTACCCTGGGTTACTCCCTGGAAGTATATGTCAACAGAGAGTGTTGTAAGATGTATGTTAGGGATAATTAGTTGGAAATAATTATCCCATGTTGGGTAGTGGACCCCAGGTATCTGCTGATTTAATTATTAACGAGGATGTTGAGTAAAGTAATCTACAATGAGTGCCATGTACTATGTATTGTGAGTAGGGCCAAGGAACTGGTCCTATTATGCCATGTAATGTAACACCAGTAAGGTTGTGTGCAGTAAGAATGTAAGATCTGAGTAATTACTGTTGAGTAAGAAATAAGAAAATAAGTAAATTAGTAAAGAAGAAAGTACTGAGTCTGCAATAAGCCCAGGAGTTGAGCCTGGTAGTTATATGATTAATAATATATCTTTCCCTTTGATTTCATATTAATAAATTTGTTTTTAGAGTACTTTAGGTGTATTCATTTATCCCACAGTATTTTACCTTTATTTTCGTCCAAGTGACTTGATACCAGAATTACCATACCCATGTGCCTAGACCCTCGACCATGCTACCAAAAGAATGACCATGCTACCAAAAGAATAGGTGACAGAACTGAGTAAGAATAAGAACTAAGAGAAGTAAGTAAGATGAGGGTGGTGTAGAGGTGTGTGAAACAAGTGCCCTCACAATCTATATCAGCAGTAGCAGTAGTAGTAGTAGTAGTGTATAATGACACCAGGTATCAAGAACATGAACTATACGTCGTGGCAAGACTACAAAAAGAATCAATCCATTTGTTTACCTTCATAGGAGAAGCCATAGTTATCGCGTCCATACGACGTCATGGTAGAGCTGAGATGCGAGTGGTCAACTGGCTGTGACCGCCTCCAGGTGGCTGGTCGGTGGGCTATAAATGTGTTAAGCTAATTTTTGATCGTTTAATGTTTTCTTAATTTCTTTAATTGCATGGACGTTTTTTCTGCTCCATGTGATTAGAAAATGAATCCTTTACAAAAACTACAGCCAGTTACGTGTCACTTATAGTAAGTTATTCCCTCGGACTGTCACGGCCGGCTGTCCGCGCCCAGCGACAGTTACGCTATAACTGATACCACGCAATACTCACAACAATATTTTATAGTAAGGTCAATAGTTTGGTTAGTGTTACCAGTTCACAATATTCGTCCAAACATTAACCGAACATTATCAAATACGCATATAACGACCTTCTTAGTGTAACTCAGCTTCCAGGGTTGCTCTTTGATTCTTAAAGGTTCAGCTGTAATTTGAAATTCGTTAAAATGCTTACAGGAGGTACAGGTAGACTACAAAATCACGAAACCTGAATCGAGTGACCAAACGCGGCTAGCAATGATAATGGATCGAACTGGTGATGGTAATTTGGCAAGTAGTGATGTGCTAATACACTTGTGTGCTCCCAACTCTAACAACGAACTGTTTTATTGCGTGTGATTAAAACATACCACACGACGAAGCCTCAGTCATAGATGTTTGTCCAGTGTGATGTACATACAGTGTGATATTATGTAATGCTGTGTCTCCGGTTTATCAGTGTCTCTGTATGTGGTATGTGTGTTTGACCTTGGCGCTGATGGCTATTCCCAATGAGGTACCCAGCAACAAAGGCGGGGAAAATACTGCAGGTGTACAAGATATGCTTTATTTTAACCTTGGCTCTGGCATGGTGCTTGAGTCTTTCTTTTTATGAATGCAACTCTAGTTATGATAGAAGTCAAAGAGTTAGAAAATTACGGTTTTTCTCTCTGTTTTGGTCACTCTATACAGCACAATAAAAGGCTTTGATAACACCCAATGACGGATACACATTTAAGATAATAATTATACTTTGCTGATGTTCCAGGTGTTAAGAAGTCCAGATAATGAGTGACACGCCTTGCATTCATCCCTCTTTTACTGTTCATCGATTCACAGGAACACTGCTTCCAGTCCACACGGTCCTCCCCTACAGGACGAAGAGCAGTGAACGACAGACCAATGAAGAACACTGGTTCATGGGCTTCCACTGTCCTCATCATCAAATATTTGACCACAAATTATATTATCAAGAAGGCCCAGTCATTTCTTCCATAGCTCACCACTGATATACTCTTGACCCACAATTCTGTTATCTCTAGATACCTTCGGTCAGCACTCGTCGCTAGGTTTACTGTTATCTTTAAAACTCATTTTAGTGTCTAGGTATGAATGTTTATCGTACTTTACTGTCTGTCCGTATCTCTCTTTCTCTGAGCACTGATTCAGCTCTCGATAAATTGTGACAGCTTCCTAACGGGTCTTGAAGCTCGTGGGATTCCCTCTTATTTAATGGCAACTGTCTCTAATACCTTTAAGCTGTTTTATTACTCCTCTACTACAGGTTACTAATTGACTACTCTAGCTGGTGTTCCAAGGTATTTATTAGTCTCTGATACGAACTTCGTAGAGATAACACTAAGTATTTTAAATTATGGTAACTAACAATATGTCGTAAGTATTTCAAGGAATGATAAATGATTGTAAGGTTCTAAAAGTGTGATAGTTATCGTGAAAATATAAAAGCATGATAAGTAAAATGAGAGCATAATATCTCTAAAGTGTAATAACTAAATATATAGATATACAGTAAATGTATTATTAGATGTATTATATTGCAAAAAAAAAACATTAAGGATAATTTTACTAAATGTTTTGTGTGAGTTTATGACTGATTAAAAATTATTAGCTCTGATTGACTGACTGGCTGGCGAATTGAAAGACTAATTGGCTCTGACTGATTGATTTATTGGCTATTCCATTTACTGATTGGTCTATTATTTACCAGCATCGTAACAGGGAAAGGACTTGTGGGCCGCCAGTGGTGACCTTAACTCGTATGTGTGTGGTGGTTCCAATATTATCTTAACTTGTCAACAAGTTTTTGCAGTGACGTGTGATATCACCATCTGGTCTCATGATCCAGCTGAATTATATTATACAGACTGAATAAAAATGGAAGTATCTATAAGCTAAAAAAAAAGGATATTTGACACCCCAAGTTTATTTTACCTAAAGAGTAACAAACCTAACTTAATTAAACTTAACCTAACTTCACCAACTTGAGTTTTGGAGTCACATCGTTTACTGGATTCTTCAATGCTAATTATCTCTATTATCAATCTTAATCATTCCATGTCTAGTATCAGGGTGTATGAGTTATGAACCCTAATGATCACAGGTAAAGTGCCAGCCATCAGATAAGATACTACGCAGATCTCAACACTTGAGGGTTGTGTTGGCTGGTCAGTGTCGACACCCCACTACCCTCCTCAAGATAACGCATTAATAGCTCTTATGTAGGACACACTTTCGTAACTTTATGGTGTATTAAAACTCTGTTGACAACGGGGAACGAATAAGAACTGCAGACGTTGAGAATTCTGTTCATCTATACTATCAATTATACTCACAATTATATTCACTTTCTGTCAATAATGTTTGCAATACTCTCTAGGACACATTAACAATACTACTTTTATCTACATACAAGTATTCGTATATATGGAAGAAAAATATTTAACACTGACAATCATATAAACTGGAATATCAGATATGACTCAGTGCTGGATTGTGCTTACTTCAGTGTTTATATATTGCGATTATTTGTACATTGAAACAGACTCTTCTCCCTGTAAATCAGTATAAAACTCGAGCTACGTTGGACGAATGAGGTGATGGTCGCACTCTGACGCTAATGTACCTGAGGTGACGGTACACAGATAATGAGAAGCTGATGCTTACAATTCATTATCGTAAGTGGTAAGGTATGATAATTAAGGTATGATAACGAGAGTTTGGATTATTTTGGGATCTCATGAAGATTAGGAAACCCCGCTTATTTCACCTATAATGCCTAAATGGGGGGAGCTGGGGTTACGGTAGGTTAATTTTGTCTCCGATGAGCGTATCAAGTTAAGGTAGAGTCTCGGTGCAATTTTGTCTCCTACCTGGTGTTACGTGAACGTATGTAGTTAAGGAAGATTCTCATTGCACCAAATGTCAGCGTAATTTACCATAAAGGTCAAAGGTTAAGGTCAATATTCTTGTAATTTTCATTTAATAATTTCTGGAACGAGGACCTGCAATTTTCGACCTTTGTAAAAATAAAACCAGAGAAAACGATAACAGTTTGTGAAGGGTCAACTATTATAATTTACTGTACCTTCCATATTACACGTTTACACACATATACTGTTAATGCAAGTGGAGATAAGAAGCTTTTAGGGTCATTATTGGTTTATTATTGATTTATAAACTTACTGATACCACGAAACAACCATGTAAAGCGATCGTAGCGTGGTTTTATGTCTGGACGGCCCACGCTCCTGCTTGACACAATTCCTTACTTTATTTTTTACGTTATCCTCTTCCTCACTGAACGGTCTGTTTGCCAATTGAGTGGTCGGTTACGTATTTGTTATACACTGTTGCAGGGTCGGATTCAGGAATATCAAAAGGGGGGTCCAAGAAGTTGTGGGTGGGGGAACATGGCGAGCACAGCGAGCCCACCCAACTGTTTTTTTTTTTGGTGTGTGTGTGTGTGGGAGCGCTGTAAGCCCCTGAATGCTTTTTTGAAATCCGACCAAGATCATGGGCATTTTGAAGCTATTTTTAGCATACAAAAACGCCTGAGTAGAATATTGCATTAAAGAAAAAGTATTGGAATTTTCTCGTGAAAAGGGGGTCCAGACCCCCAGGACCCTCCTGGATCCGCCCTTGTGTTGGCAAGTAATGAGCATGTACTGACTCTCTGTTACACATGTTGTTGGCAAGAACTAGGCATGTACTGGCTCTCTGTTACACACTTTTGGCAAATACTGGACATCTATTGGTTGCAGAATGTATCTGTACCTGCGCCAGTGTTGGCCAAGTCTAATCTTGAATGACCTCACACTCGACGCCGTCACAATACTGAACTCTGGCAGGTTATTGCAACAGTTCACAGCTCTCACTCCGAAAAAGTTGGCCCTAACAATTTTTGTGAACTTGTGACTTCTTCAACCTTAACCAGTGACCTCTAGTGGGGCGGACATCCGCCAGCTCCAGGTATGAGCACTCGACTGAGTAATGTCTTCTGAGATGTTTATAGACTTCTATTAAGTGACCCCTTGCCCGTCTATAGTACAAGCTAGGCAACTGCAGGCGTTTTAATCGCTCGGGGTATCTGAGGTCCCGTAGTGCAGGCACCAGTGTGGTGGCCCTCCATTGGACGTTTTCAATCAACTGACAGTCTCTAGCATATCTCGGAGACCAGACAGGGTCCCATACAAACTCGCCCCGTACACACTCGCCCTTACACGCTCGCCCCATACAAACTCACCCCCGTAAAACTCGCCCCCGAACAAACACACTACACTAGCACGCTACACACTACACCAACACACACAACACTACACACTACACACACACATTCCCCCACAACACACACACGTACACACACAGTCCCACAACACACTACACGAACACACAGTCCACCCACATACACACACATACACAACACAATCCCCACAACACACTACACGTACACACAGTCCCCCACACAACACACGAGACGTACACACAGTCCCCCACATAACACACTAGACGTACACACAGTCGCCCACACACAACACACTACACGTACACACAGTCGCCCACACACAACATACTACACGTACACACAGTCCCCCCCCACAACACACTACACGTACACACAGTCCCCCACACACAACACACGACACCTGCCCTAGCTCATTAACTTTGTTCTCGTTCTTGCTCTTAATTAACGGCAGTAAGGTTGCTCCAGGTAACACGCTTTGTCTCCTTGATAACCTGGAGGAGGCTTATTTGTGTGGACCCGAGTTTAGCGTTTACTTAAGAGGTGTTCTGCTGTCCTGTGTAGTCTTGGTGGACGGAGATGATGGAGGTGGGTGTTAGTGGGTGTAGATGGATGGGTGGGTGAGGGGGATAGATGGATGAGAGGGGGTGTTGGATGATGTAGATGGATGAGTAGGTGTTTGGGGTGTGTTGTGCGTGTCGATGGATAGTGGATTTTAGAGGGTACAGGGTGGATGGGTTGGATGGA